CTGTGCCAAGCCTCCATCTGTGGAAGATAAAGAGCATGCAGGGTCACAGCTTCCGTTAGGTCAGGAGGAATGTCCCAGCATGCATCCTTCTGATGCTCTCCTTCTACTGTAAACAAAAACTACGCTACACACAAACCACATTTTAAAAAAACATCACATTCATCAACCCTCCAAAAAATATATTGATTAGGGCTTATAGGATTCACTACTGACAAACTGAGACTCGGCAAATTGGGTTCCGACATTTACTGTTCATGTGTGTGTGTGTGTGTGTGTGTGTGTGTGTGTGTGTGTGACCTGCAAATGTTAGTCCACGTAGGAACCAGGTGTCAATTCGGTATGGCAGAGTATGGCAGTCGCCATACAGTAGCTCAACACCAACAATGTAAAATAGGCTACAATCCCGATTTAAAGACAAACCCAGTTTAGTGGTATTTCCCATTCAATATAATGCCTGGGGGGATTCTGTTTTCTGCTTACAATGCACCGCGGTCGGCCTTGAACTTTCGTGCCTTCAATGAGAAGGGCAGTCGTACTCCTTTCTTCTCTCCCTCTCACACGTCATCCAGTTCTGCATGTACATGCACATGCACACTTATCATGACGTATTGGCACTCAGCCAGGCCCTCATCTCTTCCCCTCCAGGTAAATCAGCCCGGTTGTTGATAGTCCGCGGGGGCCACCTCCACAGAGACGATATGGTTCTTCATTCTGGCCAAATGTGGATCAGTAGGGCTACAGTACGTCTTCCAAAACAGGGGCATAACGAGACCAGAGCAGCTGAACAGGAGCATCTCCAGGCCAGAGCAGCAGAGTAAGAAAATGCTAACTGGCGAGTAGTGCTTAATTTGTACATTTGGAGGTGCCGGAACAAAAAGTGAGCGCGAGGTGACCGGGGGTGTTCTGAGGTACCTGAACACATGAGGGGGGAAAAAAACCCCTTTATAATAAAGCGTTGCATGCATATCATCGCATTTGCATAGTGGCAAAGAACAGTAAAGTAGAGGCACTTACAGAAGTTGCACACATTGGGAAAAATTGTGCTTTTATAAACGCATTTCATGCAATTCTACATCATTTTACATAACTGGAGACTTTGGCAGAATATTTTTTAATACCACACAAATTATCGAAATGGCTGGCTACTTTGACACTGAGAATCTGAGATCAATAAAAACGACCTTGTCTTGAATCCATCAATAGCCTAGGCCTAGGTGTGTGGAGACACATATTGTAGGCTACAATATGAGGAGGAAATTATAGTCCTGAAAATGCTATAAAGTTTCACTGACTCACCCAAGGATATGCAGCTCACTTGCTGGTGATGGTTGATGCGCTTGTGCCAAAAGCCTTTCTCTCTCGCTTTGTAAAACAATATTTGGAAGTTGATCAAATATTTTGGTAGCCTACAGCATAGAGTCTTCACTTTTCAGCAGGAGCCATTTGCTTTCCAAGCTGTGTTTTCCCTCGATTGCATTTGAAATATTGCGAAATTGTTTTGTCTGCATGCTGTTTTTTTCACAGACAGATTTGCCGTGCGTTCCCGACTGTAGGCTATTCATTGTTATTGGGCTACAATCCACAGCTAGCCAATTTTTTTTATGAAGCTATTGATCATCTGTGGCTAAATTATAGGCCTTATCATGGTGTATAGGGCTCTTCTGAATGATTTCATTTATTTCTTAACAGACAGCAGTAATTCTATAACTTTGGCAAATGTATTTCAATTCATCAGGGGTGCTGCAGTTCCTTCAGAACCTTTCGCACGGCTATGATTCATAAGGCAATACATGATGAAGTGCAACGCTGGAGAGATGAGAGTTGAAAGCGCGCGTCTATCCGAGCAGAGAGGGAGAGAGATCATAGAAAGTGAATCTCATTCTAGTTATGTGAGAGATACTGGCGCGCTTCTCACACAGCCACGGCCATGCGTTGGTCTCAAACATGGGTTACAATGTTGCGCAAACCATAAACCCGGGCTGCCCCAACTCAAATCAACTCTTCGAATATTAGGCCCGGGCTGAAAATTTACTTTTTCACATAACGTTTTTTTGTGGGGGCAGGATCATTAACAAAGAGTCAACTCGACTGAACTTTGATTGCCTTTATTATAATTTTTACATTGTAAAAAGTGAAAATTATTTTTCATGCCACGAGGGGTACCGGATCCGGCCAAATAGGTTCTGGAACTAAACGGAGAGGTGCCAGTGTGGTGAACTGCGCCTCCCACTGGCTACCCCCGCTACTACAGGCAGGACTGGAGCCCTCCCTACCGCTGAATCCCACATCTATATTTTTACATTTTAGTCATTTAGCAGACGCTCTTATCCAGAGCGACTTACAGTTAATGCATACATTATTTATTTTTTCATACCCCCTGTGGGAATTGAACCCACAACCCTGGCGTTGCAAACGCCATGCTCTATCAACTGAGCTACATCCCTGCCGGCCATTCCCTCCCCTACCCTGGACGACGCTGGGCCAATTGCGCGCCGCCCCATTGGTCTCCCGGTCGCGGCCGGCTATGACAGAGCCTGGATTCGAACCAGGATCTCTAGTGGCACAGCTAGCACTGCGATGCCTTAGACCACTGCGCCACTGATCCGCCATAATACCAAAGAAGAAGAAGAAGAAGAAGGAAAAATATTAGTAATTTGTGTAATGTGTCATTCCAGACTTCAATGCTGTAGTTTAACGGCGGAATGAAGCATCTTTTCGAATGGAAACAAACAGGAAGTAGTGGTTTCTACTAGTTACCACAGCCACAAAGGCAAAGCGTACTATATTGTAAACATTTCTGAAAATAAAAATGTGCGTTTTGGTCTTAATTTAAGGTTAGGGTTAGTCATATATTTAGCAGTGTGGTTAAGGTTAGGGCTAGGTTTAAAATTAGATTTTATGAAGCGAAATTGTATAAATAGGCGGGGTGTATGACTTTGCGGTAACTAGTGACGACCGAAGTAGTGGATACTACATTACCCAGCGTCCACTTCGTGTATCTATATATACAGTATATAGAAATTATATTTGATTATTTGCCGTAATTTCACCAAAAATACTTACATACAAAGCGACATGAACATGGTGGTGAATACCTTATTTATGCGTCTCTGATCGCACTATATATTATTGGGCACAATAATATTTAGGCATAACCGTTATAGAGATTGATAGTGCTGCGAACCTGGTCGGTTTTAACCCCGTTTAAGGTCGTACACTCTGGTTTTTCTTCAGATCGCATAAATCTTTCGCGTTTAACTAAGGATTTCCGTGGAGAGTAACGCTGTGAGCATGAACTAATTGTTTGGTGTCCGTCCTCAAAGCTGGGATTCCTGCACTTGTAAAAAATTATGGTTTAAATAGTAAATAATTGCGTGACAGTGGGTGGTCTATACATTTGGCAAGCCTCAGCTGGATACCTTTGCAGCATTGAAACAGTATGTTGGGAGGAAAATAGAGGGAGTGGTCAAAGACCACCTCTAGTTTGAAATAAAATGTTATTTGCCACATGCGCCGAATACAACAGGTGTAGACATTACCGTGAAATGCTTACTTACAGCCCTTAACCAACAATGTATTTATTTTTTAATAAAAAAGTGTTGAGTAAGAAAAGAGCAGAAGTAAAATAACAGTAGAGAGGCTATATACAGGGGGGTACCGGTGCAGAGTCAATGTGCGGGGGCACTGGCTAGTTGAGGTAATATGTACATGTGGGTAGAGTTAAAGTAACTATGCATAAATAATTAACAGAGAAGCAGCAGCGTAAAAAGATGGGGTGGGGGTGCAAATAGTCCGGGTAGCCATGATTAGCTGTACAAGAGTGTACAAGCCAAGAGGCGGCACTGCTCATTCTGTGACTCTTAAAGAGTGACCTATTGCCTTAAATCCTATCTGTTTTTCATAATGTCAAAGTGGAATTACGTTTTTAGAAATGTTTACAATGCTCCTCTGGGTGTAAACTCTGTGGATTTGGAAACTAAAAGTGCTCCTGAGTAGAATTGACCCCTCCCCCCCTTTTACAACGTACAGATAATGTTGTATGGTGCAATAAGTACAGTGCATTCGGAAAGTATTCAGACCCATTGACTTTTTCCACATTTTGTTACATTACAGCCTTATTCTAAAATGGATTAAATTCATTTTCCCCTCATCAATCTACACACAATACCCCATAATGACAAAGCGAAAACAGGTTTTTAGAAATTTTTGCAAACATGCAGGAACGCCTCGAATTGCGGGCTGAAGTTGCCTTTTACTGCAACACAATGTACAGATAATTTTAGATGGGTGCAATAAATGATAGGAGTACACACAAAAAAAACATTGTTGACCATCTAGGCTTGAACAAATAAAAATTATCCTTTGTATGATAACCAGTATAAAATATATCGACAAACGTTTCAATCATTTTCGCCCTAATTAGTCATTTACAAAGTATACGGGATATGACTTTTATTCTGAAGGATTCCAAAAAATCCGTGACCCTGAAGTATTTAGTTATTCTTGGCCGCTTCACAGTGGTGGGGCTACTTTGGACTGTTTACTTAAAACGCACCTAAAACTGGAGCACAAGGGCCACAAAGCAACACGTTATATGAAAGACGTCTTAATGTATTTCACGTAAGTAGCGAAAACTCTTGATAGCGGCTAGCTAGCTAATTAATAGCTAGCATGATTGTGCTCTCAGCTAGCTATCGTAGCTACATACAGTAGCTAACCATTTAAAAGACGACTAGCTAGGTGTTACTATTTGTATCTATCCACTTTACATAATATTTAACATTATTTATTATATATAACACTTATACGTCATGCAGTCCACTCGTCTAGCGTTGCTAGTTAACTAACATCAACGGTCGGTAACGTTAGCGACCCTATCAACTGTAGCTAGCTAATGTATAACCGGGTTATCGATCCTTGGCCACAGCTCGGTTGTGCTTTTTCTCATGTTACATGTCAAACACACACCCAGGTGTTATACGAACGTTGTAGAATATAATATGCCTAGTTAGCTAACTAATTAGCCTAGCCAGTTAAATCGATTGACCCATGCGTTAATAAGCTAGCTACTTCCATCATCAAATGAATGCCAACAATTTATCAATCTAGTAGTTGGTGAGATATCTAAAAAAAAAGTTGCTCTCAACAAGGAGGTTGCTTTATCTCTTGTTTTGCAGCTATTGCGCCCAGCAGTGGAGAGCGTCCTCATTCATGCTCCAGACAATTGAAGCATGCTAGTAACGTTAGTATGCAGCCCAACATAGTCAGAAGAGATGCCGGAGTCTGGCATCAAACGAGAAGCCTGCTTTACAAGAATGTACTCATCAAATGGAGGACTAAACAACAAAGCCTGCAGGTTGGTAATTTGCTGCACCTTGTGTTTTGTCTGTCTGATTTGAACCACATTGGGTCAGTTTCCCGGACACATTAAACCTAGTCCAGGACTAAAAGCAATTACAATTGTTTCCCCATTGATTTTGTTTTTTAGTCCAGGACTAGCTTTAATCTGTGTCCAGGACCTTTATGTTTTGCGTCTGAGAAAAGTAGCTAGATGTATAACGTTAGCTAACTAGCCAACTCATCTGTATCTAACCCGTGCTGCCAGCATCATTTCCTGCTGCCAGGAGAACGCTAATACGAAAGTATTATTGTATTATACACAACACCTTTTAGTTTTTACAAAGAAATCCTTTCTCTTGTTTTACCGACCTCCAGAGCCTTTTGGCTTTAGCATGCGCCACACCTGCCCACAAGCTTCTGTAAACTTGTTGTGACTAGTGAAAATATGACTGCCTTCTGCTTTGCAACTCAGCAGGTCTCCACGACCGTTCCATCTTTGACCATTCCATCTTTGATTTGGAATTGGGGAAAAAAAGATGAAACCTTTCCTCTTTTTTTGTGCGTTTTCCTTCATTGTAGGGCCATGCATTTTTCATTTTGATTTAAGTTGCTCTAATGCATTATTAATGTGTGTCTCTTTCATATTTTCCTCCAGGGGTAGCTAGTGTTTGAGAGGGGCCTCCTGGAAATTAAGTAGCTGTTTAAGGCAGCTAGTGGTGAATAACTAGGTTCCAAATGGCATCCTGTTTCCTTTGTAGTGCACTACTTTTTTCCAGAACCCCATTAATCCTGGTCAAAAGTAGTGCACTATATTGGGAATAGGGTGCCATTTGGGACATACACTAAGACTTAGAGCTCCTACTGTACTTGTGCTGTCAAAATGAAGTGGTCGATAGGCTTGGGCAGTATCTAGATTGTCATACCTTTATACCGCTCTTGTGCCATCCCAGGACATTCGGTAATACCGGAACTGAACACAAGGAGCTAGCTAATTAAAAAAAACTTCAAAGAAATACTTTCAACGCTTTTGACTGTATTGAAAAACCATCCCTTGGCTATTTCCAAATACCCCGGTATACAGTATAGACTAGGCTTTTTAATCCTTCCAGCCACACCAACCGCTCGTTGACTGTCATCACCCATCTTGGGCTGGCTGCAATACTTTTAGAAGTTATTAATACGCAACCAAATAAATGAAGCATGTTATGTAATGCTCCAAGCCTCCGTGCCAGGCCTGTCTGGAAGCAGAGCACCAATGCCAGTTTAGCTCTAATGATTTTCCTTTGACGAAGATGTGTTTATCAAACGTGTCCTTTTTTTGTGTGGATATAACTGTTCATTACAGATTTATAAACTAACAATAAGCAAGTCATTAATTGTTTTTAAACTACTTAATACCCCCTTCACATGGTGTGCTTTTTACTCCCAAGAAACTGTCTCACAGAGTGTTTTTATATGGACCCAATAGGGGTTAAGGCCCTGTGATGGGGGGTACATCAAGCTGCCTCGCTACAGAAACAGGATATAGGCTCCTATGAGCTGTTCTGGCTCGCAAAAGCCAAGGCTGGTGCCAGGCTACTTACTTACCTATTAGGCATAGGACTAGGCATGTCATAGGAGCAGCTAACACATCTTTTTTTATCCGTTGCTGTTTGAAAGATACGCCAACCTCCAGCCTAGGGCTTGACATGCCAAACACTCAAATTTTTACATTTTAGTCATTTAGCAGACACTCTTATCCAGAGCGACTTACAGTTAGTGAGTGCATACAACTTTTTTTTCTCTTTCATTTTTTTTTTTTTCATACTGGCCCCCCCATGGGAAACGAACCCACAACCCTGGCGTTGCAAGCGCCATGCTCTACCAACTGAGCGACACGGGGCCCATAATTTAGTGTTTCAATGCATCTCACTGCTCCCCAAGGTCAGCCTGTCAGAATTCAGGGTTGTTTAATAACAATGCTTGTTTGTCATCAACCTTGATGGGAGGGAGAGTTTGAGACCTTGGACAAGCTGCAGACAGTGGGCTGGTTCGACATGGCAGCCGACAGTGTAAGCGACTGCCGACTGACTGATTTTACAAATCACTTTTCATCATAAGTAACTACTCAGTCATTATTAATTGTAGATCAGTCAGTCAATCACAATGCATTACAGATTTGATCCGCTCAAACATGGTCATCTAGTGGTTATGTGCTTATGGGGGAGGAGTAGGGAGTTTGGGGTGGGGATGTTATTAGGATATTTATGGTAGTAGGATGGGGATGTTATTAGGATATTTATGGTAGTGTCACTGTGCTGTTTATTACAATGACATGGTGATATCTATTACAATGACATGGTGATATCTATTACAATGACATGATGATATCTATTACAATGACATGGTGATATCTATTACAATGACATGGTGATATCTATTACAATGACATGGTGATATCTATTACAATGACATGGTGATATCTATTAGGAATGACATGGTGATATCTATTACAATGACATGGTGATATCTATTACAATGACATGGTGATATCTATTACAATGACATGGTGATATCTATTAGGAATGACATGGTGATATCTATTAGGAATGACATGGTGATATCTATTACGATGACATGGTGATATCGATTACGATGACATGGTGATATCGATTACAATGACATGGTGATATCGATTACAATGACATGGTGATATCTATTAGAATGACATGCTGATATCTGTTAGAATGACATGGTGATATCTATTACAATGACATGCTGATATCTATCCACGTTTTAATTTGACCTCAGTCTTGTGTATTGCTATCTAGGCCGGGTTACTGTAAAGTGCTGATATTAAAGGGCTTTATAAATGTTTTGATTTGATTGATGCCCTTTATCACTTTGCTTGATTAATTTAGTTAGTGAGTGGTTTATTGATTGATTGCCCTTCCCAGAGTTGTTTATTTGATTGATTGATTTTGATTGGCGGGTTTTCTGCTCCAGGAGTTGATCCTGCCCCTGCTGCTGCTGGGCCTGCTGGTTCTGATCAGCACCCTGAACCCACATGTCTACTATGGAGGTATCAGGACCATGGAGTTGGAGAGGGAGGACTACCCCCTCCTCCAGGGTCTGGGATACACCCCCGTCAACAATGCCACCAATCACATCATGGAGGAGGTGGCCCAGGAAATGAGTAAGTAGGAGGATGGACATGAAGCTCGAAAAATGCTAATATAAGGGATATTGTCTTGCATTGGATATGTGGCACAAATGCTAAAAAGTTAGCATTTGGAGACCGTGACCAGGTAAACAAAACCAAGGCGTGGATTGCACCGTCTCGTCATGGATTTACAAACATTGCATTGCTGTAGGTTAAGTATTCACTGGAGCCTGGATTGAAATTCGCTTAGGGCCCCCAAACGGCTAGGGCCGGCTCTGACTTCATGTGTGGGTGTGGGTACGCTGACCCACTGCGGCCCCTCGTGATTAATTTTTGTGGCCCCCACCCCCAACAAAGTTGCCCATCCCTGGTTTAAATGGACTGAGTGTTATGGGGACCTGCTGTCTTGGTGGCTTTACAAGTGCATGCATCCCAACGGCACCGTATTCCCTGTGTAGTGCACTACTTTTCAACAGTGCCCTATGGGCCCTGGTCTAAAGTACTGCACTATAACGGGAATAGAGTGCCATTTGTATTTACGTCTGCCTTGATTCTTGTGGTTTCTTCATTGTAGACATGCAGGACCGTCTGGAGATGTTCTCTAGTGAAGAGGATCTGGAGAATGCCAGTCTGTATGAGCCGTCAGGCTACGTTGGGGTGGTCTTCATGGGCAGCACGCCCACCTCTTACAAGCTGCGCTTCCCTTACAACCAGCTGGCCATGCCCAGCGACTACACTCAGTCCATCGGTAAGAGATTATTTAAATATTGGTATAGGCGAAATAAAGATCTTGTTTTATGAGCAAGATTTGTGCCTATTCCTTCCTTTTGTCCATTGGTGAGGGAGAGTAATATTACCCTCTGTGTACAAGCACATTATCCTCAATAGAATATGAATCCTTTCGCTGTGGAGTGAAATTAGGAATTAGATGTTTGCCTACTGCAAGATGATTATAAACTCCTAGATGTGAGTTATAAAGGCAATAACAGAGTCGGTCTGTATCTGTCTCTCGCTCTGTCTCGCTCTCTCTCACTGTCCGTCTCGCTGTCTGTCTGTCTGCCTCGCTCTCTGTCTGCCTCGCTCTCTGTCTGGCTCGCTCTCTGTCTGGCTCGCTTTCTGTCTGTCTTTCTCGCTCTCTGTCTTTCTCGCTGTCTGTCTGTCTCGCTTCCGTCTCTGTCTCTCTCTCTGTCTCGCTGTCTGTCGTCTCGTTGTCTGTCTGCCTCACTCTCTCTGTCCGTCTGTCTGTCTCGCTCTCTGTCTGTCTGTCTCGCTCTCTGTCTGTCTGTCTCGCTCTGTCTGTCTCGCTCTCTGTTTGTCTGTCTCGCTCTCTGTTTGTCTGTCTTGCTCTATGTCTGTCTTGCTCTATGTCTGTCTTGCTCTCTTTCTGTCTTGCTCTCTGTCTGTCTTGCTCGCTGTCTGTTGCTTTATGTCTGTCTTGCTCTCTGTCGGTCTCTCTATCTCTCTGTCTGTCTGTTTTTCCTCCCTCCCTCCCTCAGCCAGCTGTTTTGCCAGCTCAGTGAACTGCAGAGCAGCTAACTACTGGTACTCTGGCTTCACCCGCCTCCAGACTCTCATCGACGCTGCCATCATACAGGTGAGAGGACAAAGGTCAAAGGTTGTTGAAAGAGATCTCCTCAGGAGGTTCAACCTAGGGCTGCACAATTAATAGAATTCACATCGAAATCGCAATATTGACATGTGCAATGTCCGTATCCCAAGAGATCCAAATCGCATGCAATATTATGTAACACATTTCAGCAACATAACAATCATGTAACGTGAAACATCCATTTTTATAGTTTACTCAGATTTATTTTCTCCTCTTGCGGCTGTTTCCACACCAAGCTCCGCCCCCTGTCACTCAAGCAGCGCAGTTCCTCCTCCTCGCTGTTAGATTCACAAAGTTTGCATGCTGTTTTTTTTTTTTAGGTCAAATGTAGTCAATCGATTGTTCCAAACAAGAACGATGCTGCTTTCTGCTTTTCTATGATGACTACAGTTCACCACAAGTGTTTTGATCTACAGTATATCGCGTATGAAATCGCAATATTTGGTTTAAAAAAAACAACAACATCCTATTGGAATTTTGGCACATATAGTACAGCCCAAGTTCAACCTTACTTGACCTCCTGGTTGGTTGATCGATCCTTGAACCTGTGGCAGAGTCCCAAATGATTCCCTATTTAGTGCACTACTTTTGACCAGGGCCCATAAGGGATGCAGACTGTATCTCCGGTATTCTGCAGCAAAGGGAGTAATGCTGTTTTTCGTGTTAATGAAATGAATTGGCTGTTTTTTCCATGAATTGAATTAGTCCGCTTTCTGTATGCCATATACAGTGCATTCAGAAAGTATTCAGACCCCTTGACCTTTTCCACATTTTATTACGTTACTGCCTTATTCTAATATGGATTAAATAGTTTTCCCCCTCATCAATCTACACAAAATACGCCATAATGACAAAGCAAAAACAGTTTTTTAGAGATTTTTAAATTTAGAGAACTAAATATCACATTTACATAAATATTCAGACCCTTTACTCAGTACTTTGTTGAATTTTTTCTTCTAAAAACCTGTTTTCGTTTTGTCATTATGGGGTATTGTGTGCAGATTGAGGACAATTTTTTATTTAATCAATTTTAGAATAAGGCTGTAACGTAACAAAATGTGGAAAATGTCAAGGGTTCTGAATACTTTCCGAATGCACTGTATGCCTTAACTTTGTTGCAAAGCAAATGATTTACCTATAGGAATTATATTCTACACCATTTCCTTCTGTTCTCTATTCATCCTTGATGCCTGCCTGTGTTCAGATGCAGACCAAGCAGTCGGTGTGGAGTGAGATGACACAGCTGCGTGTTGTGATGATGGGCCAGCCAGGGTCAGTGGAGATCCAGAAGTTCCCCCACGCCCTCATCTCCATCTACCTGGTGCTGGCCTTCACACCCTTCGTCACCTTCCTCATCGTCAACGTGGCTACAGAGAAGGAACACAGGCTCAAAGACACCATGACCATGATGGGCCTCTACGACTCTGCCTTCTGGTGAGGAGAAACTCTGTGTGGTGTGTGTGTGTGTGTCTGGAGGAGAATGAAGCACCAATTTAATTAACTCTACTAACATATAAATATTAATGCACGAGCGAATAACAAAAATGTCAGTTATTATTTGTTTTTTAAACAACTAATTGACCAACGTTGGTTCAGTTATTTGAATTCCATTTCGTTCTGGGTTTTTCTGTGAGCTCAATGATGTGCGCTGCAGTTTCTCGAAAGATAAATCAGATCATGCCCGAACTGTGCGATACTAGGGAGTTGTAGTTTCCAACAGGCATACATAGTTTAACGCAGAAAATGTGATAATTAACTACTATGACCATAATCCATTGCGCGGCTACTTGTCCGGTCTGTTTCTTTTACGCCTGCTACGTAAGAGACAGAAGAATGCGCAATCAAGCGAGGTATCTCTACCTGAAAATACATGATCTAAGTGATTGATAGTTGGTATTCAGCAGTCATAAAAGTATGCCTTATTTACTTTGAAGAACTACTAAAATAGTTTTATCAGACAGCATAGGCAGCAGCTCTATAGAGATGAGATGATGACTTGGAATGAAATAATAGTCAAATAGAACAAATTTATTATACACAACACCTGAAATATTTTATTAAAGTAATGTGAATAAATGATGGTTAATAAGTGATAAGCAGTAATGGACAGTCACTACCATAATGGGACTTTTATTAATTGTTTTATTCTGTGTTACAGCATTCAACCCAAATAAGGCAAAATGAATGTAATGTTTTAAAAAATGATTGAAATAAAAAAATCGTGACAACTGAACCGACCTCAAAAAGCACTAATCGTATTTTTAAATATATTGCCATAAATAATTTCCATTAGTTCATGAAACCAGATTGAGTGGTACCATACCATCTACAGTACCAGTCAAAAGTTTGGACACACCTACTCATGCAAGGGTTTTTCTTTATTTTTACTATTTTTACATTGTAGAATGATAGTGAAGACATCAAAACTATGAAATAACACATATGGAATCATGTAGTCACCAAAAAAAGTCTTAAACAAATCCAAATATATTTTATATTTGAGATTCTTCGAATAGCCTTGATGACAGCTTTGCACACTCTTGGCATTCTCTCAACCAACTTAATCTGGAATGCTTTTCCAACAGTCTTGGAGTTCCCACATATGCTGAGCACTTGTTGGCTGCTTTTCCTTCACTCTGCCTTCCAACTCATCCCAAACCATGTCAATTGGGTTGAGGTCGGGGGATTGTGGAGGCCAGCTCATCTGATGCAGCACTCCATCCCTCTCCTTCTTGGTAAAATAGCCCTTACACAGCCTGGAGGTGTGTTGGGTCATTGTCCTGTTGAAAAACAAATGATAGTCCCACTAAGCACAAACCAGATGGGATGGCATATCGCTGCAGAATGCTGTGGTAGCCATGCTGGTTAAGTGTACCTTGAATTCTAAATAAATCACAGACAGTGTCACCAACAAAGCACCCCCACACCATAACACCTCCTCTTCCATGCTTTACGGTGGGAACTACACATGCGGAGATCATCCGTTTACCCACACCGCGTCTCACAAAGACACAGCGGTTTGAACCAAAAATCTCAAATTTGGACTCCAGACCAAAGGATACATTTCCACCGGTCTAATGTCCATTGCTCGTGTTTCTTGGCCCAAGCAGGTCTCTTCTTCTTATTGGTGTCCTTTAGTAGTGGTTTCTTTGCAGCAATTCGACCATGAAGGCCTGATTCACGCAGTCCCCTCTGAAAAGTTGATGTTGAGATGTGTCTGTTACTTGAACTCTGTGAAGCATTTATTTGGGCTGCAATTTCTGAGGCTGGTAACTCTAATGAACTTATCCTCTGCATCAGAGGTAACTCTGGCCTGCCATTCCTGTGGCAGTCCTCATGAGAGCCAGTTTCATCATAGCGCTTGATGGTTTTTGCGACTGCACTTGAAGAAACTTTCAAAGTTCTTGAAATGTTCAGTATTGACTGACATTCATGTCTTAAAGTAATGATGGACTGTCGTTTCTCTTTGCTTATTTGAGCTGTTCTTGACATAATATGGATTTGGTCTTTTACCAAATAGTGCTATCTTCTGTATACATGGTCCCGTGTAGCTCAGTTGGTAGAGCATGGCGTTTGCAATGCCAGGGTTGTGGGTTCGTTTCCCACGGGGGACCAGTATGAAAAAAATAAATGTATGCACTCACTAACTGTAAGTCGCTCTGGATAAGAGCGTCTGCTAAATGACTAAAATGTAAAAAAAATGTATACCCCCCCTACCTTGTCACAACACAACTGATTGGCTCAAACGCATTAAGAAGGAAATAAATTCCACAAATGCACTTTTAAGAAGGCACACCTGGTAATTAAAATGCATTCCAGGTGACTACCTCATGAAGCTGGTTGAGAGAATGCCAATTGTGTGCGAAGCTGTCATCAAGGCAAAGGGTGGCTATTTGAAGAATCTCAAATACAAAATATTTTGATTTATTTAACACATTTTTGGTTACTACATGATTCCATGTGTGTTATTTCATAGTTTTGATGTCTTCACTATTATTCTACAATGGATTTTTTTTTTATAAAGAAAAACCCTTGAATTAGTAGGTGTGTCCAAACTTTTGACTGGTAGTGTAGGTCTTTTAAGAAATATTTAGCTGTCTATGTTATAAAGGCTTTTAACTTAATAAAGAAAGGACTATGGTGACATGATATTTACATTTTAGTCATTTAGCAGACGCTCTTATCCAGAGCGACTTACAGTTTTTCTCTACAAAGATGTGTGTTAATGTTTCAACAGGCTATCGTGGGGCCTGCTGTATGCAGCTCTGGTCACCACCATGTCCATCCTCATGTCCATCATCGCTACCTACACAGCCCTCTTCCCCAACAGTAACTTCATCATCATCTTCCTCCTCATCTTCCTCTACGGCATCTCCTCTGTGAGTACCGCTGATGAGCCCTGGTTGGTTCATGACATGACATTTCCCTTTAATGTGCCATGTGTGTCATGGATTAGACCTGAGATTGACTTCCTCATTTCAGTTACTATAGGATATTACTGACCTTAAAGGGATACTTTGGGATTTTAGCAATGAAGCCACGAGTTCATCTGACTCTGGGGAAGTAGATAAAGGGCTACATTGCCAAAATGCCAAACTCCCCTCTACCAATAGATATGAAGCTGCATTGGGTTGACTTGCTTTGGCTGACAGGCCATAATAAAGGGATATTTATTTTATTTTATTAAGCGTATTTTTGACTTACCTACTAGACTGTTATCGTTTCCATTCGAAGTCAAACCTATAAAATGTGAACTACCCCTTTTTAAAGCCTATTATCTTTCCCCAGATCTTCTTTTCCTTCATGTTGACCCCTCTGTTTAAGAAGCCCAAGTTTGCCAGTACGGTGGGCTCCATGCTGACTGTGGTGTTCGGCTGCCTGTCCCTGTTTACTGTCCTGATGAAGGACTTTCCCCAGCCGCTGGTCTGGGTTCTCTGTCTGCTGTCCCCCAGCGCATTCTCCATCGGTATCGCACAGGTAACCAAGACAGTCAACGCCCATGGCACTACTGGGTCGTGTTTATGAGCACCAAACAGGGAGCGACTACCTGGACTTGTCCAATAGAAGCGCTAATTTTCTGTTGTGAAACGGGTTAAAAACGTGTTCTGTTTCAACTCTGGGAACACGACCCATTATGAATGTCAATATCACCTGGATACCAGTACTACAGCCACATTGACTAGATTTTATCGTCAAGGTTGTCCAGGACAAAGTGTGAAATGTCTACAGACACCATCCCCCATGTAATACAGCTATTATGTTCTATTCTCTGTGTGTCTAGGTGGTTTACCTGGAGGCCCATGGCGACGGAGCAGTGTTCTCTACCCTGGCCAACGGCCCCCATCCGCTCTACGCCCCCCTCCTAATGCTGGTCCTGGACAGTATACTCTACCTGCTGCTGGCTGTCTACTTGGACCAGGTCCTACCTGGTACGGTACAGTTCTCTTCTGGTTTGTCTCATGTCCCTTCCTGTTATGTCCTGTCCTGTTGTCTTCTGTCCTGTCCTGTTATCTTCTCTTTTGGAAGGAAACAGAAATGTAATAACCTCTTCATCCAGCTTAGTCTAATTGAGAGCATCCGTTTTTTCAAGAAAGAAATGTCTCTGTATCTCAAACTATATTCTGTAACCCTTCCATATTCCTTATCCAGGTGAGTTTGGCATGCGGCGGTCCCTGGTCTACTTCCTGAAGCCATCCTATTGGTCCAAGCGCAGTAAGCGCTACGTCGAGATGCGCTCTGTGTACGAGACGGAGGTGAACGGGGCCCCAGGTCTGGATGAGTCTGTGGAGCCGGTGTCTTTGGAGTTCAGAGGGAAAGAAGCCATCTGGTAAGAGCCTCCCCTTTTATACCCGTTCTACACTACTGATCCAAACCAAACTGTACTGGGCTGGCCTGGTTACGCATCCACCATAGTTGCTGGAGGCGTCCTGTCTAGGTAGTGTACATCAAGCTGCCTCATGCTACAGAAACAGGAGATAGGCTCCTGCCCTATGGGTAGTGATGGGGGGAAAATGTATAGTTACATACTGTGATATTATTTTGGATGATATTATATTGATACTTTGACTCCAAGTATCAATTTGGAGATAAAAAAATATAATAAAAATCTGTATTTTTGCTAGGTAGCGCTAGTCGGCTGTAGCTGCACCATAACACCAGTATTTTCCATCCTATAGCTTGTTCTCCCTCTTCTTTTTAAATAGTGAGTCAACATGTTTTCAGCACTTATTTCCCTGACTGATCAAAACTCGTTTTCTCATGCTGTCTCGTCTCTCTGCAGCAGACAGAGTGTGAATTGGGTACATCACTGCCCCTGTTAGATAAGAGCCACTATCTCTTCACGTCAGTTCTCATGGTGCCTCATATGAAATGTTGCTGTGCAGATTGTATTTCTTTCTTATCATAATTGCTCCCTTCCCTGACTGGAAGAGAACGCTTGTGTCTCGCTGTAACAAGTGGGTTTGAAAATAGACTCTGTGGTAGCCTCAACGCGGCCGGTCCGGATTGGGCTGATATATCCGGTTACCTTATGGAGAAACCTGCCTGGACCCATTGACTTTCCAGGACAGAAATACAGGCTCTAACGTGATGACCAAACCGTCTCCGCGCATGCGTATGTTGCTTTTGTCTAGCCCCACCAGACGCTAGCACACAGCTCAGACACCCATGCATACCACACAAGACATGCCACCAGAGGTCTCTTCACAGTCCCCAAGTCCAGAACAGACTATGGCAGGCGCACAGTACTACATAGAGCCATGACTACATGGAACTCTATTCCACATCAGGTAACTGATGCAAGCAGTAGTATTTTTTTTTTACAGATAAAAATACACCTTATGGAACAGCGGGGACTGTGAAGCAACACAAACATAGGCACAGACACATGCATACACACACATGATAACATACACACTATACACACACGTACACATGGATTTTGTGTTGTAGATATGTGGTAGTGGAGTAGGGGCCTGAGGGCACACACTTAGTGTGTTGTGAAATCTGTTATGAATGTATTGAAATGTTTTAAAAATTGTATAACTGCCTTAATTTTGCCGGATCCCAGGAAGAGTAGCTGGTGCCTTGGCAGGAGCTAATGGGGATCCATAATAAATACAAATACAAATGTCATGCAGGTTAAAATACCAAAAGCAACTGTGAACCAACTATATTAGTTTGGGGACACATATGAAATATTAATGGACATTTAGCTAGCTTGCTGTTGCTAGCTAATTTGTCCTGGGAGATAAACATTGGGTTGTTATTTTACCTGAAATGCATATGGTCCTTTTTTTTTGCTGGTTCTTTTTAGAATGTTGACCCATTTTGAGTCACACAAAATCGTGTTCTCTACTCCGACAATTCATCCACAGATAGTTTTTTGTTTGTTTTCTTTGATTAAGCTCTCCTCGTTCATTTTCTTCTTCTGTAGATTTATATGGCGGTTGGCAACCAACTTTAAGGTGCATTACTGCCACCAACTGGACTGGAGTGAAGAACGTGTTCATCTTTCAATCACCCACGTGGGTATATGCTCGTAAAAACCAATGAGTAGATGGGAGAGGCGTGACTTGCAGCGCGTCGAGCGTCTCAAATAGAACCAAGTTCTATTTTAGCGCCTGGCTACGCAGATGCTCGTTGACACGCGTGAGTGTAATGATTGAATAACTTGTATGTGTAAATTTAACACATGCGCGCGCAACGCGGGCGGTCTGGTCAGCATGTAAGAGTTAGTTACCAGAGGAAAAGAAAACCTCAACCGAGCTGAATCGATATAGATGTGAACCTGACGTAGAAGAGGAACCCACCGGCTTGGTCTGCTGCCAGCCTGGACACTTCCATTAGCTTTGACCCAGAAAGACTGCGGGTCAGATTGAAACCTGTTGTTGTTGACCCTTGTCTTGTCTCTGTGTATCCCCACCCTGACAGCATTAACAACATCTGCAAGGTGTACAAAGACAAGGACAGCATCGTGGAAGCTCTGAGGGGTGAGGCCTATTCCTCATTATCACATGTTTTTGAATACAAAGGGGAGGGGCATGTTATCTGTGTGATTTATAGCACTTTAATGGGGGTTTTTTTGTGTCGCTTTTATATATTTTGAATTGAGCCACACGATCTCGTGTAGCTCAGATGGTAGAGCATGGCGCTTGCAGTGCAATGGTTAAGGGGTTTGATTCAAAAAAGTATGGAAATGTATGCACACACTACTGTACGTCGCTCTGGATAAGAGCGTCTGCTAAATGACTAAAACGTTAATGTAAATAGTGCGTTTCTATTGTTTTATTTACTCTATGTTGTTAATTTCCCTCTTTCCCCCCTCCCTTCTATCCAGGCTTGACCTTTGACATCTACGAGGGTCAGATCACAGCCCTCGTGGGCCACAGCGGAGCGGGGAAATCCACTCTGATGAACATCCTGTGTGGGATCTGCCCTCCGACCGACGGCCACGCCTCTATCTACGGCTCCCCAGTGGCAGAGATTGCCGAGGGGGCAGAGATGAGGCAGCTGGTGGGCATCTGCCCTCAGTTCAACATCATCTTTGACGTGCTGACTGTAGAAGAGCACCTGAGGATATTCGCTGCCATTAAAGGGATTCTCCCCGCTGACATTGACAGTGAGGTGAGTGAGTGTGCGAGTGAGAGTGTATCATTCACTGTGTCCTGCTGAATGGATTTGGGAATTGGGCTTCTTTAGCTATTTCAGCTTCAACTCACAAGATTGCTACTATATTCAGTGTTGTATGTGAGGTGTGAAGCTGATTTTTGTCTCTGCCATATGATCAATCTGTCCGTTAGGTGACCAAGGTGCTGAAGGATCTAGATCTGGAGAAGATCATGGATGCCCAGGCTAAGAACCTGAGTGGAGGCCAGAAGAGGAAGCTGTCTGTGGGCATAGCCGTCCTGGGAGACCCCAAGGTAGCTGGATCAGTAAAACTTGAATTGACTGACTATCGTCACAAGACAAATGTTGCTCCTGTTTTGATAATTTCATATTTGAATAATCTCTCACACTGTTTCACTCGTGTGTGTGTGTGTGTGTGTGGTGTGTGCGTGCGTGCGTGTGTGGTGTGTGTGTGTGTGTGCGTGTGTGTGTGTGTGCGTGCGTGTATGTGTGTGTGTGTGTGTGTGTGTGTGTGTGTGTGTGTGTGTGCGCGTGTATGTGCATGTTTTAGATCCTGCTCCTGGATGAGCCAACAGCTGGTATGGACCCCTGTTCCAGACACCACGTGTGGTCTCTGCTGAAGAGTCGCAGAGCAGGCAGAGTCACAGTGCTCAGCACGCACTACATGGATGAGGCAGACATACTGGCCGGTACACCCATCTCTTTCTGCTCCATGTCCCACAATGTGTTCATCTGTAGCAGGGTTCTCTATATCCTTCAATACATCGACAGCGATTATCTTTCACTCTCTATCACGATTCCTCTCAATCTCTTTCTCGATTTCGGTCTTTTCCCGTTCCCTTCATCCAGACCGCAAAGCTGTGATCTCTCAGGGCCAACTCAAGTGTGTTGGTTCGTCCCTGTATCTCAAGACCAAGTGTGGAGTAGGATACCACCTCAGGTTAGTTCGGCAGACAGCTCTCCAATTTTCACTCAAAACACACTATAAAACGTATCCAGAGCTAAAGAGTTTTGGCCCATTTGAGCCCTCCAGCACATTTCTTTATATTATAAGGGTTGTTTTCTGATAATTGTAAGGTTGATGCATGCATACCACAGCTGAATTACACTTTTTCCCTTCTTATAGAATGTCTGTTGGTGAAGGGTGCAAGGCGGATAGTGTCACCTCAATGGTCAAGCACCACGTCCCCAAGGCACAGTTGTCACGGCAACAAGAGGCGGAGCTGACTTTCACCCTCCCTTTCGAAAGCATGGACACATTTTCTGGTCAGGAACCAATCTCTGAAATGAGGCTCAATTGTTGGTTTCTATCATAGACATATAATTTCTACTAAGTGTACCCATGAGGGGGCAGTCAAATTGCTATGGTCCGAGGGGCTGTTCCCCTTCTAGGAATTCTATTTCTATGGTTCTTGTGTAGCAGTTAGAGTTTTAGATCTGTGGTTCTGTACTTACTGTACCTTGACTTCACTCTCTTTCTCAGGATTGTTCTCAGAACTAGACTGCAGGCCAGACCTGGGCATCATCAACTACGGGGTGTCCATGACGACGCTGGAGGATGTGTTTCTGCGTCTGGAGGCAGAGGCTGAGGTGGACCAGGCTGGTGAGCCTTCCTTCCTTCCTTTCCTTCATTCTTTCCTTCCTTCCTTCCTTCCTTCCTTCCTTCCTTCCTTCCTTCCTTCCTTCTTTCCTTCCTTTTCCTCCTTCTATAGTAACCCTTTATGATGGTCAGAGCAGCCTGTCATCTCTAACGTATGTGATACCTGGGTCGTATATTCATTAGGCACCAAACAGACTGAAACAGGGAGAGAACTTCCTGAACTTCTCCAATTAGAAACACTAGTTTTTGTTTTCCATTGCAAACAGTTTTTCTACAGTGTGCCCTAAATAATATGACCCTGTTGACTAGCCTAGTAACAACTTCCTGTCTCTCTATACCCCTTCCCATCTCCAGACTACAGCCTAGTAACAACTTCCTCTCTGTTATGTGAATTATTTAACAAACTATTTCAGAGTCTCTGTGCGTTTCCCAAAAGGTTGTAAGTCTTTTGGATTTAAGAAACGGACAGAGTCCCGGTCTGCATAGTCAGAGATTTATTCATTGAGAATTCTGCCATCACAATTTCAGAGTCCATCTTTTATACTCACACGTCATACAAAAATCCCTCCCCTCTTTAGGCAGGCTGTAGTTTTCCACTTTAAAACTGCTCTCCTGACCATCAGGACACACACACACACACACACAAATACACACACACATGCACTCTTCCAAGCCTAACAGTTTCTCTCCTCCCTAAATTCCTCAGTTATTTTGGTTTCTCAGTTGTCTGTAGACAGTTCTCCTTGTCCTTTGTTGTCTGGTCTAACTCTTACTCACATTGCTAAATAGTAGCTCAATGTCAGTCTTTACTGGTCCTACACTCACACATTCTAACACATTTCACACAGTTTCAGGGTGTAATAATTAGTCATTAATAATTATTCTATCAATCAACCCTTTGACTAAATATTACACACATACTCACAAAATATATGTTGTTATAGAAATTAATCACATACATTGAAGCATATAATTTGATTTGCATATAAAAACATTAAAAATTGTCTCATTCAATACAGGTTCATCAGGTTTACCCCATGATTAAAAGCGTAACGTTACTCTTTAGCAATGGTACCTAACCTGTTTACCCACTATCTGGAAGCAACAGTCTAAGCCTATAGTGAAGAACATTTGCTTCATCACGTCCTGCAACATCGGTTAACTAGTACATCATACTTAAAAGAAGACTTTAATACACGAAATATCATTACAATAACTTTTAAACTAGAGATTTATAGTTCTAGGAAAACATCCAGTCTCAAACTATCTGAATCGTCGTCGTTCTCCACCAAGCCTGGTGGGTCATATTCTTCATTCGGTTGGTCGGAGTCCGGGATTGGGCCGTATCTCACCATCTGCTGTGATACTGCATTCTCCAACGCCTTGCTCACCAACCCTCGGACACAGGGAATAAGACAACATCCACAAAGAACAAGTATACCCATAGAAGCTATAGCTGCACCCAGAATAGTTACAACAATAGTTTTCCATTTACCAAACATGTCATCAAACCAACCAGTCATTGATGTATTCACCCCCCAGTTCTCAGCCCATTCTTTGCTTAATGCAGTGAGACCTGCCAGTGCTCTAGTTACTGTACCATCTGGGGCTGTATTGTTGGGGATAAACATACAACAATGACCTCCCACCATCTTGCAAATCCGCCCTTCTCTGCTAAAAGCATTTCGAGAACCAAACTATTCTGCAGGTCATGAGTGAGGTGGCGGATAGTTGGCCTGAGATTCTCTTCACTGCATCCCTTGTCTAATTAACGAACCTTTGTAGATGTCATTAATCCAGTCAACATTTTTATCAATTGTAACCCACCAGAAAAACGTTGTTGTAAACCCTTCTCCAATTTGAACTGTGATTCGCATTACTTTGGTGTCTATAACATTGATCATCTCTGGGGTTCATGGTGAATTGAGGTGCCTTGGTATTATCCTTTTTAAGAGTGGTTATTTTAATATCAGAACAATTAGGTGAGGTTTGGTTTGATCCCAAATCTATCACACAAGAGAACATGGTCTGAGGCATAGGTGCAGTTACAAGGGTTGGCCTACCTGTTGAACAGGCATAACAATTAGTTTGACCCAACGCCCTAGCTGTGTAGTTCATCCACCTTACCCAGAAGTTCTCATTTGAAATTCCTTCTACTTCTCCTTGGTTCATTTCCTGCAAGAGGAAATATTATACCCTTGTTGGTTTAGTGCTATTTAGGATTCCTTTTGAGGGCCTTCCAAGGGGTATTAAACTCGTTTTTTGGTACCTCTGGTGATAACATTAGATCTACCTGCTGTTCTGTCTCGGGGGTGGAAGATTAATTTCTCTCCTGAAAAATGAGCCTCACATATGTATTTGCCCCAACATCATCAACACAGACCCAATAGTTCCTTGCTTATCATCTTGCATAATTGACTTTACCGTTATCACCAGTTCCGTTTTACATTTATCATGGGTTTGTTTAATTCCCCATCGGTGTGCTGCGTCCATTCCATTCTCATAGTATGTTCCCAGGTATGTTTAAACACCCTTGCCCAAGGACATGAGCGTTCCCCAGTGTAAATGTATTTACCATACCTTCTAGGACCTAACTTTCTTGTACACGCCCCCTTCTTACCAAAGCCCCCAAAACCTCCTATCTCTTCATGGGAGAAGTCGAATGGTATCTTGAATCCCCCATCTTGTCCTAAACTGACTTTAACTATTAAAAAAATAATCATTCCCCCAATAGTCTTTCTTGGTTTCAGTATTTCTACGAGATCGAATCAGTGCCTTGGTATTATTTTGTTCATCATTTCCCTGTTTAGGTTGACCTGGATTAATCCATAATATGGTTAACATGATGATGCAGCTCAGAGTCCCCCAAAATCCCCAAAACCGCCATCCCAATCCTGTCCCTGACCCACCTGCCTGGTACTTCCCCATACCCACACCTCTATAAACACCCCACAGTGATGAAAGGTCGGGGTAGGGTTTCTTCGTTAACAGAGTTTACCTCCGAACCCTAGTGGGTCAGTTCTTCTCTTTAACTCTGTGTGTGTTCAACGGTGTTGGTATGTGGGCCTACCTTTTTGCAGTGGGTAACGTGGACCCAAGTGGCTCTCTCAGCTATTCTTATAGCGAAGGCAGTTACCAATAGGACTTGGTATGGTCCCTCCCAGCGTAACTGCTTTCAATCCTTTTTCCTCAACGATTGGATCCACACCCAGTCTCCAGGTTATATACTATGAATCACCTTCTCCTTTATTCTCCTGTAGGACACAAATTCTTAGACATACGTGTATGGTTAACGAACAATTTTCTCATGTGTTCTGCTAGTGTATTCTCTAGTTCTATGTCTGCCTGTTCTGGTCCTGCCAACTGTGGCATTCTGTAAGGTCTTCCAAACACTTTAATATATATATATACATACACACACACACACACACACACACACACAGTGGGGGAAAAACATTCTATCAGTTTATACAGTGGGGGAAAAAAGTATTTAGTCAGCCACCAATTGTGCAAGTTCTCCCACTTAAAAAGATGAGAGGCCTGTAATTTTCATCATAGGTACACGTGAACTATGACAGACAAATTGAGAAGAAAAAAAATCCAGAAAATCACGTTGTAGGATTTTTTATGAATTTATTTGCAAATTATGGTGGAAAATAAGTATTTGGTCACCTACAAACAAGCAAGATTTCTGGCTCTCACAGACCTGTAACTTCTTCTTTAAGAGGCTCCTCTGTCCTCCACTCGTTACCTGTATTAATGGCACCTGTTTGAACTTGTTATCAGTATAAAAGACACCTGTCCACAACCTCAAACAGTCACACTCCAAACTCCACTATGGCCAAGACCAAAGAGCTGTCAAAGGACACCAGAAACAAAATTGTAGACCTGCACCAGGCTGGGAAGACTGAATCAGCAATAGGTAAGCAGCTTGGTTTGAAGAAATCAACTGTGGGAGCAATTATTAGGAAATGGAAGACATACTAGACCACTGATAATCTCCCTCGATCTGGGGCTCCACGCAAGATATCACCCCGTGGGGTCAAAATGATCACAAGAACGGTGTGTCAATATGGCAGCATATCTAAACAGTAATTTCGGGAGAATTGGTAATCTGTCTTTGAACCATATTCCTTCCTTATTTACTGCGCCTAGCTTCACCCATCTGTGAACTTCCTTAATTGGGGCCCTACTGTAGCTCTCTATAAGTAGATCTCTATCTATCGAAACTTCCTCTTTTGACAGCTGACTGGGACCAGAGAAGTGTTTTAACCCTGCTGACAACATTTTGATAATACCTCAACTTACTTCTATCCTGTAAAAGTAATCCAAGATTATAACAATTGACTAGCAACAGGTATCCCTCATTCAGGGAAAGCTCTCTCTCTCTTCTGATATTTTATGGATCAAATCATATATATTATTACCAAATTATAATCTTCTTCACACTTTTCACAGTATTATAAATTAACACTCAACTTGGTAAAATAAACTATCTTAAAGTCCTCCTCTCATGCCTTTAGAATTACCAGTGTGGATGATTAATTAACACCAGAAAGTCAAAACAGAGTTCAGAGGCAATTGAAATTTTTCAACGAACTGTTCCATCCCATAGTATACTAAACATTACCATTATTCTAAATATTACATAAATGTTACTTATCCCAAGTGTTCATTAAGTCGTCATGACATTTATTCTCATAAGAAATCATATATACCCTAAACTCAGTCAAAACTGAAAAACTCCATAAAATTCACTGTGTGTGCTCCTTTAAGACTTATCACCTCTGACCTGTTGAAAACCCCCTAAAATCAAAATAACAACCCTTTATAAACATCATACTAGGTGTGTTGTTTTTTTATTTGAAAAACCCAATTGAAAAACAACAACCAAAAATAGCCAGGCCCCACTTAATTTGGTAGCTCACTTTTACGACCTAAATACTGCCTAACTTCACAACTGCTCCCCCTATCCATGGGCAACATTCCAATGAGATAAGAAATCTCTTTCTCCTGGAAGAGAAATTATACATTTTGTTAACCTTCAATTGCCATCAGTAATCTAAAGATGGTAAGTACACACAAAACATGATACAGATATCCCCAGTCCTAACTCATCAATAATCGTTTGTATCAATCTAATTCCTCATAACTAATCCATAAAACCACTCAAAATTCCTTGAGTATACAATGAGTGTGTTTAATTGATTACCCTTCAGATCATATCCTCTTTAAATCTCACAATGATTATTGAACACCTAAATCTGCTCCATGTGATCCCATATCAAATGATCCATTATCGTTTATTTGATCAACACCTTAGGAAAATCTGTTTCCCCATTCTATTGTTCCTGTCACCCTTCTTAATGTCATATTTCACTCATTTGCCAATATAATCCCTTACTTCATATAAGTAAGCAGTGATATTTTATTCCAGGCATCTATTAAAAAAATGTTTGATACGTTGTCTCCTACTGTCCCTTAACATATACTGTAGGGGATTTCCCTCAATCCTGGGAAAAAACTAAAACAAAAAACTCCCCTCTCAGAACACATCGGATAACTCCACGTCTCATTAAATTCACTAAACCTATAAATAACAAACCCATAACCACCTTCCGGTAATCTACTGATTTAAACCTGTTGCATTAATTTATTAAAATATAAACCTATTGTTTAATAAATCCACTGTTTGCATTGAACACATCTCTGTCTCTCTAGGTATTGACTAATAGTCTCACTGTCTCCCTGCTTACACTCGTGGACTTTGGAGAAGTCGGCATGTCTGTGACAATATTCTCTCAGATTATCACAGAGTTGTGCCAATTTATCTCCATAAACCCCTCCATCTGCCCACTCTAGGACCTGCGCATTCCCATCTCTGGGAACCCAGTTTCCCCTTACTGCCGCCCACTCCTTCAACACTATCTGTCTGACTGCCCTCTCTAGTTCCCCTGTATTCAGCTTAAAGCTGGCGGTCAGCCCTTCCATATCTCTTCTGAACTGGTGTACCCCCGTTTTAGGGTGGGTATCCCTGGTAGCCTGGTAACAACTTTCTTCTCTCTCTCTACCCCTCCCATCTCCAGACTACAGCCTGGTAACAACTTCCTCTCTCTCTCTCTCTACCCCCCTCCCATCTCCAGACTATAGCCTGGTAACAACCTTCTCTCTCTCTCTAACCCCTCCATCTCCAGACTAAGCCTGTAACAACTTCCTCTCTCTCTCTCTACCCCTCCCATCTCCAGACTATAGCCTGGTAACAACTTCCTCTCTCTCTCTCTAACCCCTCCCATCTCCAGACTACAGCCTGGTAACAACTTCCTCTCTCTCTCTCTCTCTCTACCCCTCCCATCTCCAGACTACAGCCTGGTAACAACTTCCTCTTCCTCTCTCTCTTCTACCCCCCTCCCTCTCCAGACTATAGCCTGGTAACAACTTCCTCTCTCTCTCTCTCTACCCCTCCCATCTCCAGACTATAGCCCTGGTAACAACTTCCTCTCCTCTCATCTCTACCCATCCCATCTCCAGACTAATAGGCCCTGGTAACAACTTCCTCTCTCTCTCTCTACCTACCTCCCGTCTCCAGACTATAGCCTGGTAACAACAAACTTCCTCTCTCTCCTCTCTAAACCACCCCCCCATCTCCAGACATAAGCCTGGTAACAACTTCCTCTCCTCTCTCTCTACCCCTCCCATCTCCAGACTATAGCCTGGTAACAACTTCCTCTCTCCTCTCTCTCCTACCTCCTCTCCAGACTATACCTTACACTTCCTCCTCTCTCCTACCCCCATCTCACTATAGCCTGGTAACAACTTTCCTCCTCTCTCTCTCTCCTACCCCTCCCATCTCCAGACTATAGCCTGGTAACAACTTCCTCTCTCTCTCTCTCTACCCCTCCCATCTCCAACTATAGCCTGGTACAACTTCCTCTCCTCTCTCTCCCTCCCATCTCCAGACTACAGCCTGGTAACAACTTCCTCTCTCTCTCTCTACCCCTCCCATCTCCAGACTATAGCCTGGTAACAACTTCCTCTCTCTCTCTCTACCCCTCCCATCTCCAGACTATAGCCTGGTAACAACTTCCTCCTCTCTCTCTCTCTCTACCCCTCCCATCTCCAGACTATAGCCTGGTAACAACTTCCTCTCTCTCTCTCCTACCCCTCCCATCTCCAGACTACAGTGTGTTCAACCAAGAGCAGGTGGAGGAAGAGGGGGGCGAGTCCTTTCTGGACGACACTGACCAAAGACTACTGACCTTCTCCAACAGCAAGTCAGAGGCGATCCAGGGTCCCGCTTTGTGGAGGCAGCAGTTCAGCACCGTGGCCTGGCTACACATGCTCAACATGCAGAGAGAGAGGAAGGCCTTTGTCTACACGTGAGTCTGGGGAGGGAACTGCTTACCTCTCTATTACCTAACCTAATATGTAGTTATTGAAAACAACCCATTACACTGTGCCCTTGTAGGTAAGGCTATAGGCAAGGTAATAAGGAAGTAAGCAGTTCCCTCCCCACATGCTCAACATGGAGAGGGAGAGGGAGAAGGAGGGAGAGAGATTATCACAAACATATTATTTTCAGTGTTGTAGCCCAACTAAACGGTAGGCTATATAGAAAGTTGTGTAATTTAAATTAATCCAGAGAGGAAGAGGGGAACTTTAGTGAATTTGTGAGGCATGCAAGACAAGACATTGCGAGATACTGATTACCAAGACATTATTTCGGGCTGCCCCCTCCTCTCTCTCCATGGCGCTGGCTCGCCTGCTCTGGCTCTTCTCTAATGATGCCAGTGTGTGTTCAGTCTTCGGTCTGTTGCCTGTAGAATATCCTAGCCTATTCATTGATGATAGGCCCTGCTTTACGGAAGTTGCGAGACATTGCAAGCCAAGAAATTGCAAGATACAGCTTTTGATTGTCGATAGATAGGCCTAGTGCACGGTTCTGACTCCGTCTGCCTGGTGGCCGACCTCCCTATAATGTGCCCCTCCCCTCTCTCTCCGTCCCTCGCTAGCTCCCTATGAAAGATGCGAGTGTTTTTGTGTTCTCAGAAGAACCGCAACTAATCAGTCTCCTCTGTTCCAAAAATACTAAATCTTAGGAGTCGATTCCTAGCAGAATCAAATCTTTGACCCTCAGAAATGGGAGTAGACGCGCAAGGAGTCGGTGGGAATCAATTATTTTGGAGTCGACTCTCCCACCCACTGCGTCATCGTCGTTAACAGTTGGAAAAATGGCTGAGAAAGGCAAGTGACAGCAGCCAAGTCCTGTATGGTAATACTTTGAGAAGTTTCAATGAGAAGGAAAAGCATTGAGGTACAGTAATGGTAGTACAGGTGCAGTGCTTAACCATCTGAAAAGTACGCACCGTGAGACCCAAACCGTTGCTGACAGCAGTGCAGCTGAAATGATATACATTTTTCTTATCGTTTTAATGGAAAGCCAATACAATTTTTTCCATTTGTCACAACCCTAGAACTGTTCTGTACTGGCCTGGGTGAAGTCCAAAACTATCTGGCTGTCTGGGTCACAGGTCCATTTGATAGTGGTGTTGGCACTGTCCTTTCAACAATGTGTCTTGTCTGTGAGACTGTTCGATTGTTGTCTGTCTCGCCCTCTCTAATTCCTTCTGCCTTTTTATCTCTCTCTCTTTATCTCTCCCCCCTCTCTTTCCTCCCATCCCCCCACTCATTCTCTCTCCTCCCCTTTCCCCCCCACTCTTTCTCTCTTTCTCTTCCCCCTCCCCTCTCTCCTCCCCTTTCCCCCCCACTCTTTCTCTCTCTCTCTTCCCCCTCCTCTCTCTCCTCCCCTTTCCCCCCACTCTCTCTCTCTCCTCCCCTTTTCCCTCCCCCCCACCTTTCTCTCTCTCTTTCCCCTCCTCTCTCTCCTCCCTTCCCCCCCCTTCCTCCCTTCCCCCCCCACCTTCCTCTCTCCTTCCCCTCCGCTCTCTCCTCCCCTTCCCCCCCACTCTCTCTCCCCGCCTCCTTCGTCCCTCCCCCCTTCTCTCTCCTTTTCCCCCCCCTCTTTCTCTCTCTCTTCTCTCTCTCTCTCCCCCCTTTCCCTCTCTCCTCCTCTCTCCCCCCCCCCCCCCCTCTTTTTCTCTCCCCCTTTCCCCCTCCCCTCTCTCCTCCCCTTTCCCCCCCACCTTTCTCTCTCTCTCTCTTCCCCCTCCCCTCTCTCCTCCCCTTTCCCCCCACTCATTCTCTCTCCTCCCCTTTCCCCCCGCCCCCCCTCTTCTCTCCCCTCTTCCCCCTCCTCTCTCTCCTCCCCCTCGCCCCCCCCTTTCTCTCTCCTCCCCTTCCCCCCGGGCACTCTTTACTCCATCTCTTCCCACTCACTCGGCCGACCCCCGGCACAAAGGCTCTCCACGAGCCCACTTACCGCCCACTCAGGCCCCCATCGACCCAAGCTCTCTCGACCCCCCCCCCCCGTTCCCCACCAGCACTTTCTCCGGGATAGCCCAATCAACCCCTTTGCGCCATTCCCGAAACCACCCCCACCCTTGATTCTCTCTCACTCTTGCCCTCCTCTCTCGGCCTCCCCTTTCCCCCCCCCCATTAGATGCTTTGCTCCATCCGGATCTCTCTCCTCCTCCCCTCCTCCTCCCCCCCCCCCTCTCTCTCTCTTCCCCTCCCCCCCCCCCCCCCCCCCCCCCCCTCCTTCTCTTCCTGCCTGACCCCGACTCTCGCTCCTCCCTCCCCCCCCCCCCCCCCCCACTCTTTCTCTCTCTCTCCTCCCCCTCCCCTCTCTTCAGTCTGACATTGTTCCTGGTCTACTTTGCTGCGGTGCTGGTGTTGTCTCTGGCAACAGGGAACATCCAGATCCACGCTCCAGAACGCCAGTTCGCCCCCATCTACCTGCTGAGACCGAACCAAGCCCCCCGGAAATACACCACCAGCCTATTGGTCCAGAACTCATCAGGTACGCCAGTCAGTCAGGAAATACACCACCAGCCTATTGGTCCAGAACTCATCAGGTACGCCAGTCAGTCAGGAAATACACCACCAGCCTATTGGTCCAGAACTCATCAGATACATCAGTTAGCCAGCCAGCCAATCAGCCAGTCAGTCAGGAAATACACCACCAGCCTATTGGTCCAGAACTCATCAGATACATCAGTTAGCCAGCCAGCCAATCAGCCAGTCAGTCAGGAAATACACCACTAGCCTACTAGTGTCCATAACTCATCAGGTACAGCAATACTCTCTTCTATACTGTGAACTGATACTCTTGAATACTGTGTTTTCCTCCCATCACTACAGCTCTGAAATAGTTTCTCTATCCATCTCTTCCCAAGCAGTAGAGAGTTCCTAGCAGCATTTGTTCATAAAATATGAATGCCTGAATAGGAGACTAGAAACACTCTGGTTTGAAACCCAACAGAAACACTTGTGTGACTTTCTGTGGTCTGGTACTCCACAGGCTCTGATATCTCCGACTTGGTCCGTAACCTGGAATCTCAGGACATCAAGGTGGAGATGATGCAGAACACAGACTACATGTCCTGTGCTCCTCACAGCGCAGCCATCAACGTCACCGGATCCAACAAGGTGAAAATAATAACCCCTCTTATACAGGAGAAGGGCGACATTCTCTCTCTCTCTGTGTGTGTGTGTGTGTGGGCATGATGTTGATGGTTCTAAATGGAGTGCTCTAAGGCTGAGGGCTGTTATGCCATAGTGCCCTAATTGGTGGCAGGGTGCTTCAGTGGAGTGGTTGTTGTTTACCGTGGCTGTCTATCTGTCTGTGGCATAGAGCCACACAGAGAGGGAACTGATGCCACTTTAAATGCCAAGTCTTTGATTGACTCTTCTCCTGTCTGGTAATGGGGCTTCAGTTTAGTATAGCTTCACACACACACACACACACACACACACACACACACACACACACACACACACACACACACACACGTACGGACAGAGAACCATTGACAAGACACCTTATCCATTTTAAGATACAGCGTAGCGTTCAACAGTGTGTGGTTATCTAGCGTTCAACAGTGTGTGGTTATTTAGCGTTCAACAGTGTGTGGTTATCTAGTGTTCAACAGTGTGTGGTTATCCTCTATCTTTCAGGATTTCAGATACAGCGTAGCGTTCAACAGTACTACCGTCCACTCACTGCCCATGACAGTCAACATCCTCAGTAACGCCATCTTACGAGGTCTCAACGACACACAACACATCCACACCTGGACCAAGCCCTTCGACTATGTAAGTCAAATCCAATAAGACTAATGCTTATATGAACTCAGGGATGGGTCCGTAACAGTAGTAAGTACAGCAATATAATATATTGTAGCTTCATTTGTCAAGACTATCTAAACTTGTTACAGACAAATACACAAGCAATAAATTAGATATATCTATCTAATCTTTCTATCGAAATTGACCCAAAAAAAATGGTTGTAAGGTGTCTAAAAGAGTGTGCATCATACTGCAAGCATTTTGATGGAAGTATTTGACTTTCCCTCTGTTCTTCTCCTCAGCAAATTCCCCTCACCACGTCCTATGCTCTGGTCTATATCGAGGCTATCATGCTGGGGATGCTAGCAGCGGGCATGCCTGCCTACTTTGCCATGGACCACACCCGAGACAGAGAGGTAAGCAGGCGATTTACTGAAGAGCAGACATGCCATGGATATGGTCTGGCACTGCTCCAATGCTCTTTCACCAGTCAGCAAGCATTCAGTTTATCTCCCGATTCAGACATTAACACGTTGTTGATTGAACAAAAATAAGTTGTGGCTTGTAAAACTGAAAGGCACGTCCAAGCGCCCCTTTTTAAGATCTAAATAAAAAAGCATTAATTGAATATGCTTTCCACATTGACTGTTTTATTGATTGATTGACTGTTTTATGGATTCATTTGACTGTTTTGATTTCTCCTCTCTCTTCTCCGTTGTAGATAAAATGTCGTTCTACTCTGCGTATCTCTGGCCTGGTCCCGTCTGCGTACTGGTGTGGTCAGGCTGCAGTGGACATCCCCTTCTACTACCTCATACTGACCACTATGACCAGCATCCTCTTCTCCTTCCATTCTGCCAACCTGCTCACCTCCAGCAACCTCACCGCAGTGGTCTGTCAGACAGAAACAGAAGCACCGCATGCACAAACTCCCTCAGACTGACTCTCCTCCATATTTATCTCTGTCTATCTCTCTGTCTCTCTCTAGATCCTGTGTCTGATAGGTTTTGGTCCAGCTATGATCCTGTTCACCTACGTGGTGTCCTTCATGTTCACAGGCGTCCAGAGTAACAGTGACTTCTTCTCTGTGGTCTCCATGATGGTGAGAACAACAGCCTTCCCTCCACTCCCTGTCACACGTTCTTCCAACGTTCACGCAACATTCTTACAATGTCACCATAACCCCTTGAGTAGTCTTTATTATGGAGGTTCCTCTATATCGGTTTAAAAACAACCAACAGATAAGGGAAAGTAGATGAATGATTGTGTCAATGTGGGAGCAGCTATAATACTGTGTTTTTATTTGTGTGTCTGTGTGTGTCGGTCGGTCTGTGTGTGTTGTTGGATCCCAGCTGTGTGTGGTGTCTGCCTCCATCATCCAGCTGCCCTTTGTGAACGACAACCCCGGGCTGACCAGGATCCTCCACAACACCCTGTGTTTCTTCAACCCTCTCTACCCTTTAATGGGCTGCCTTAACTCGATCACCAAGGCCACCTTCCTGCCCTCTCTCTATGAAGAGGACTTGCTCTGGAAGAACTTGCTCATTGCTGTCCTATCTGTAAGTGAGGTCTTCCCCAGCTGATAGGCTAGGGTTCTGTCAGGTCTTGGTGATGTCTTCCCCAGCTGATAGGTTAGGGTTCTGTCAGGTCTTGGTGATGTCTTCCCCAGCTGATAGGCTAGGGTTCTGTCAGGTCTTGACTTGGTGATGTCTTCCACAGCTGATAGGCTAGGGTTCTGTCAGGTCTTGGTGATGTCTTCCCCAGCTGATAGGCTAGGGTTCTGTCAGGTCTTGGTGATGTCTTCCCCAGCTGATAGGCTAGGGTTCTGTCAGGTCTTGACTTGGTGATGTCTTCCCCAGCTGATAGGTTAGGGTTCTGTCAGGTCTTGGTGATGTCTTCCCCAGCTGATAGGCTAGGGTTCTGTCAGGTCTTGGTGATGTCTTCCCCAGCTGATAGGCTAGGGTTCTGTCAGGTCTTGACTTGGTGATGTCTTCCCCAGCTGATAGGCTAGGGTTCTGTCAGGTCTTGGTGATGTCTTCCCCAGCTGATAGGCTAGGGTTCTGTCAGGTCTTGGTGATGTCTTCCCCAGCTGATAGGCTAGGGTTCTGTCAGGTCTTGGTGATGTCTTCCCCAGCTGATAGGCTAGGGTTCTGTCAGGTCTTGGTGATGTCTTCCCCAGCTGATAGGCTAGGGTTCTGTCAGGTCTTGGTGATGTCTTCCCCAGCTGATAGGCTAGGGTTCTGTCAGGTCTTGACTTGGTGATGTCTTCCCCAGCTGATAGGTTAGGGTTCTGTCAGGTCTTGGTGATGTCTTCCCCAGCTGATAGGCTAGGGTTCTGTCAGGTCTTGGTGATGTCTTCCCCAGCTGATAGGCTAGGGTTCTGTCAGGTCTTGACTTGGTGATGTCTTCCCCAGCTGATAGGCTAGGGTTCTGTCAGGTCTTGGTGATGTCTTCCCCAGCTGATAGGCTAGGGTTCTGTCAGGTCTTGGTGATGTCTTCCCCAGCTGATAGGCTAGGGTTCTGTCAGGTCTTGGTGATGTCTTCCCCAGCTGATAGGCTAGGGTTCTGTCAGGTCTTGGTGATGTCTTCCCCAGCTGATAGGCTAGGGTTCTGTCAGGTCTTGGTGATGTCTTCCCCAGCTGATAGGCTAGGGTTCTGTCAGGTCTTGGTGATGTCTTCCCCAGCTGATAGGCTAGGGTTCTGTCAGGTCTTGGTGATGTCTTCCCCAGCTGATAGGCTAGGGTTCTGTCAGGTCTTGGTGATGTCTTCCCCAGCTGATAGGCTAGGGTTCTGTCAGGTCTTGGTGATGTCTTCCCCAGCTGATAGGCTAGGGTTCTGTCAGGTCTTGGTGATGTCTTCCCCAGCTGATAGGCTAGGGTTCTGTCAGGTCTTGGTGATGTCTTCCCCAGCTGATAGGCTAGGGTTCTGTCAGGTCTTGGTGATGTCTTCCCCAGCTGATAGGTTAGGGTTCTGTCAGGTCTTGGTGATGTCTTCCCCAGCTGATAGGCCAGGGTGTTGAGGCAGTTCAGAAAGACGGTAGCGGGGGGAGCCTCGATGGTACAGGGAGGGAGGAGAAGCGTGTTATGTGGAATGATAAAATATAATTGTATTTGTCACATTACCTGGCTCCATCTGCACCTTTGTTTAAGAATCTCAATATCTTGTCTATTTACGACATTAGCGTACGCCAATTATGCACTTTCATCTACAAATACTAATTCCTCCCTGACAGTTTACCTAAACCCTTCAATGGATTCTTCCAGGTTAATTCTGAAATCCATCTATATAACACAAGACACTGCGATAACCTTCACCCTCCCCACTGCTGCACCTCACAGTCAATTCTCTATCAGATACAGAATTCTTATCTTCACATTGCCAAAACCTCATCCTCCCTCCATAACTTCAAGCGAAGACTGGGGGTCAGCCTGATGAACCAAACGACCCAGTACTCCCCTCCATGTATCCTAACTCTCACACACACAATAGAAAAAAGAATAAACTGTGGAATAAATGGCATTATAAATAAATAACAGTTGATTTATTGACTGGTGTGTTGCTGTGTTTCTCTTCAGCCCTATCTGCAATGCATCCTGCTACTCTTCATACTGCGCTGGTTGGAGATCCACTATGGAGGGAGGATCATGAAGAATGACCAATTCTGCAGGTGGGAGCAGGTTGCAGAGCCCAAAAGCTCAGTAGGACACCTTATAATAATAAGGTGTCCCACACACACACATTTTTATAGTTGACCCCCCTCCCCCCAGTTTTATAATTTAGTGCTTTAGGACCATGCGGACGCCTCTGCAGGCTGTTTAGAGGTGTTAGAGGGCTGGATTTAGGACCACACAGACACCTCGGAGCGTGCAGGGAGGCTGTGTGAATGCAAAGATTATGGCGAAAGGACGGCCAGGTTGTGTCCCACCCACGTCTAAAACCAAAGTTCCGCACCTGCATTTAATTGTCCCTGAATCTTACTGTTACCATTGTCTTTCCTCCCCACAGGATATCTTCCAAGAGCAAGGCTAAAGTGGAGAGGAACCCAGAGGAGGGGATCAACGAGGATGAGGATGTTCAGATGGAGAAGGCTCGGGTGAAGGAGGCCCTCACCTGCCAGTGCTGTGAGGAGGTGTGTGTGTGAGAGAGAGAGAATCACGAGGTGTGTGTGTGTTAACTCCATTTTGGATTCACACCTTGAAATCACAGGAGCCCTATGTGGACGACAACTACGATCTCTGGGATGGGATTTCAAAATGTTGTTTTTGTTAGAGACTTTGAAATGACTATATATCAGGGAATCTAATTGTTTAGTCTCTGTGTCCCCCTGTCAGAAACCAGTAGTGGTGGTCAGTAACTTGAGGAAGCAGTATAAATGTCCATCTCTCAAGAAGAAGAGGACAGTAGCCATCAAGAACGTCTCCTTCTGTGTCCGGGAAGGTCAGCTCACGATGTTTCACCTTATTTTGGTGATCTTTTTCATTGGTCAAACAGTTAACAGGATCCATTTCTGATCACTGAGCACTGTATTTTACTAGAGTTATGAATCCAATGGTTTTGAGAGTATGGCATAAGGTCTGCATGTGAGGGTTTTTGTAAACGTTGTCATACCAGGTGAGGTGCTTGGACTACTGAGGCCCAACGGAGCAGGGAAGAGCACCATTATACACTAAATAGACCCATGGCTGAATAATTGAATGCTTAATGGTCTTGAGGCTGGTCTTGATGAATAATGGGCATACCAGGCAGCTAACCAGTAGCAACTCTGTGTGTGTGTGTGTGTTCAGGTGAGGTGCTTGGACTTCTGGGGCCCAACGGAGCAGGGAAGAGCACTATCATGCATATGTTGTCTGGAGACACAGACCCAACCGCTGGACAGGTACATACCATTTACCCTCTCTGCCTCGTGACCTTCAATGGCAGTGGCCACCGACCGGTCGATCACAATCGACTGGTCGATCACCAAGGCATTCCTAGTCGATCACCAAACATTTCTGTAAAAAACCGAAACAATAAAGCCTTGCGTTTGAAAAAAATAACATTTGTTTTGTGCTGTTGGCGGTAGGGGCACTTGATTCAGCAGCCCTGGTGCCGGGAAGGCAAAGTGTTCCCATGTTGAACCATTTCATGTGTCTGAAGGTAGAACTCCGCCTACCCGGCAGGCCCAGAGAGCAAATCAAGTGCACCTATAGGCCTACCGCTGGCCAATCAGATAGCTCAGATCACCGTGTCTGCACAGTTTCCTTGAGCCATAGACTGTAAAAAGAAGACTCGAACGCACAGTTAAGTTGATACTGTGATATTTCAAAACTTTTAAAACCATGACTAGAGAGAGACTCAACAAATACAGCAAAGAGCTGCTGTTTTTATGACTAAGTTTATGTTTAATGTTGTTATTCAGCACTGTCATATGATTCAGTCTGAAACTCGGTTGCTCTCGTCTCCCCTATATGATTCAGTCTGAAACTCGGTTGCTCTCGTCTCCCCTATATGATTCAGTCTGAAACTCGGTTGCTCTCGTCTCCCCTATATGATTCAGTCTGAAACTCTGTTGCGCTCGTCTCCCCAGGTGTTAATGGGGGACTACAGTACAGATTTCCGTCCAGTGGACAACCCCCTAGAGCATATAGGGTACTGTCCCCAGGTCAGCCCCCTTTGGCCCCGCATCACCCTAGAAGAACACCTGGAGATCTACGCTGCCATCAAGGGCCTCCGCGGACAGGATGTCCCTGGCATCATCAAACGGTAGCTATCCCAACAATCAAATCAAACTTTATTTATAGAGCACATTTCTTATGGAGGATGAATTTCCAGGTGATTAATAAATCAAATAATACAAAGTGAGAAAGATAAACACAATATATTTTCTAAATGAGACAAATTTAAAATAGTAAAACAATAATAAAATAACAGTGGACATGAGAGACTAATGCATTAAAATAGATTTAAAACATAAGATATATAGAATGGGGGGAAAATTAATATATAGAAAAGAAAACGCTCTCCTACTGTACCCTTATGAGAAATGTCTTATGGTAGTAACTGGTAGTGCCTAGGGGAGGGGTGTTAGTTCACCAAACCAACAGTTCGGTATCTATTGCAGTTTTGGGGACATGTTTCGGTACAGCGGGGAAATGAAATGCCATTCACAATGTTCCTTGCCGGATTGTTATGTTCGGCCTCTCAAGGTTCCACTCTGATGCTGTGTTTGTAACCATGTGGGAGGTGGGAATTTACCAGTTGTGAAGTCATAAATACCAGTTGGATGCATTCAGGTGATTTGAACTCGTTGAGAAACACTGATTGGTTAATGGCCAACAAGCTGCGTCAACCATAAACTAAAAGTACAGCTATCGTGCTTGTAAACTAATTATAGTTTAAAAAACACAATAATAGATGATAAAAAGCAAATCATGTTTTGTTGCATTTAACTGCCGGAAATGCTGTTATAGAGGCCATTTCCTTAGTAGGTGATGTTAGAGGTCACCATGTGGGAGAAGTCAGAGCTCAGGATGATAGTCAGTTTCCCACTAGTAATTACCAGTTGGAGGGCCGTTCAAGTGGATTTTTCCCAGTCGTATGTGGTAAATTCCCACTTCCATCTTGGTTACGAACGCACCATGACACTGCCTCCTTCAGTGCCAGATGCGCACCTGTAACTCTCATAAAGGGGGCGTCTGTAGCACGGTACATCTCCCACACCTGGGTAATGTGATGGGATGTCACTGTTAAGTAAGTGCAACACAGGGTACATTGGCCAATTCATTGAAAACTTGGGTGCAAGAGGGAAGTTCGTAACGTGGCTCGAGCACTTTCACAAGGTGCTGAAACCGCCTATTCTCAACCACCGGGAATGGGCCATATCCACGGCTATAAACCAAAGACCAAGATATAAACAGCCTACCGATCACTCTTGTAATTTCTTTGGCCCGGTCAGAATCAGCTGCCAAGGGCTGCTTGAATGCAGAAGGGAGGCGATGTTGTGTTGTTTCTTTGCGTTTCCGTCTTGCTCCGGTGTACTGGGGTGATGTCGACGTAAATGTGTCAACATATTGTTAACGTTTTATCCACAACTCTCTGTCCATCGATGTTGTAATCTACCAAAATGTTCCCAAACTGGAGATTTAAACGATAATGGAGTATCCTCCAATTCTGGTTTATCGACCCCAACACTCATACAGAACTAGTTCCCGGCTGCGCCTCACAAAATGATAGTCTGAAATGCACCAATTAAGATTTGAATTTGTATTACAACGTGCGTTTAGGCTCTAGTTGTTTTAACAGAATGGCCTGAAATGTTTTTTCAGCTCCGATTTACTCAAGAGGCATAGGCCAACAACGCAACTTAGGCATAGCCTTTAGGCAGAGATTTATTTTGTACATATTTTTTATTTTTATGTATGCATTCGGGTTCACAGTTTGGGCCGAACCGAGGTCCACGTACCGAACAGTTCGGTAGGAATACCTGTACCTTTACACCCCTAGTAGTGACATGTTGTAGTCAGAGATGTGCTGGCGACAACCAAGCATTGATTAATCCCCAAAATGACAAATGTATCTAACGTTTATCTTATCTATCTAACCAGCATTTTGAGACTTGGCCCTTTTTATTTTTCTGTTATGTACCTTATGTTTAGCCTGGGTACCAGTCCTTTTAGGTAACATTCCACTCCTTGCTACTCCTGTCATTTGTCAAATATTAACATTCTATCATTAATGAGCTCTAGGAGATCAGAGGATTTGATCCTGATTCGATAACCTCATAGGTATCCTCCAATCAAAGGTTAGGAAAATATTGGAACTTTTTTTCTCCACACATCACGTTGGTGTCCGGTTGCTAAGCAACCGTTTTTTTTTTTGGTCCAGACGAAAACCAGTCTTTCAAAAGTAGGGGTAAACAACTCCATGATTTTTGGTGTTGACTCAGACTCTGACTCTTCCTCGACTCACAAAACACACTGAAACGACTGCGCACACACATACAAACCAATCTACACACAATACACCATAATGACAAAGCAAAAACTGGTTTCTATACATTTTTGCAAATGTATTAAAAATAAAAAACCTTTGCTATGAGACTCGAAATTGAGCTCTGGTGCATCCTGTTTCCATTGATCATCCTTGAGATGTTTCTACAACTTGATTGGAGTCCACCTGTGGTAAATTCAATTGTTTGGACATGATTTGGAAAGGCACTCACCTGTCTATATAAGGTCACACAGCTGACAGTGCATGTCAGAGCAAAAACCAAGCCATGAGGTCGAAGGAATTGTCCGTAGAGCTCCGAGACAGGATTGTGTCAAGGCACAGATCTGGGGAAGGGTACCAAAAATGTCTGCAGCATTGAAGGTCCCCAAGAACACGGTGGCCTCAATCATTCTTTGGAACCACCAAGACTCTTCCTAGAGCTGGCCGCCCGGCCAAACTGAGCAGTCGGGGTAGAAGGGCCTTGGTCAGGGAGGTGACCAAGAACCCGATGGTCACTCTGAAAGACCTCTAGAGTTGCTCTATGGAGATGGGAGAACCTTCCGGAAGGACAACCATCTCTGCAACACTCCACCAATCAGGCCTTTATGGTAGAGTGGCCAGATGGAAGCCACTCCTCAGTAAAAGGCACATGACAGCCCGCTTGGAGTTTGCCAAAAGGCACCTAAAGACTCTCAGACCATGAGAAACAAGATCCTCTGGTCTGATGAAACCAAGATTGAACTCTGGCCTGAATGCCAAGCGTCACGTCTGGAGGAAACCTGGCACCATCCCTACAGTGAAGCATGGTGGTGGCAGCATCATGCTGTGGGGACGTTTTTCAGCGGCAGGGACTGGGAAACTAGTCAGGATCAAGGCAAATATGAACGGAGCAAAGTACAGAGATATCCTTGATGAAACCTGCTCAGGACCTCCAGACTGGGGCAAAGGTTCACCTTCAAACAGGACAATGAGACAATGCAGGAGTGGCTTCAGGACAAGTCTCTGAATGTCCTTGAGTGTCCCAGCCAGAGCCCGGACTTGAACCCAATCGAACATCTCTGAAGAGACCTGAAAATAGCTGTGCAGCAACGCTCCCCATCCAACCTGACAGAGCTTGAGAGGATCTGCAGAGAAGAATTGGAGAAACTCCCCAAATAAAGGTGTGCCAAGCTTGTAGCGTCATACCCAAGAAGACTCGAGGCTGTAATCGCTGCCAAAGGTCCTTCAACAAAGTACTCCCTCGCTAGCTCGCTCTTTCTTTGCTGTGAAAGAAGCGAAAGTTTGTGTTCTTGGAAGTAGCCTATGGCAACTAGCCAACTCGGTCTCCTCCGTTGCAAAAATACTGAAACTTAGGAGTCGAGAAGCAGATTTCTAGCGGAATCGAAACTTGACACCCAGAAATGGGAGTCGATGGGCAAGGAGTAGACTCTACACCACTAGTCAAAAGTTGCAAGCTCACGTCTAAATTCTCAAATGAAATACTTACTGCAATTCCAACCACAAAACGTCTTAGCTTTGATGCAACAGCGTGCCTAGCTAACAGCTAAATGTTGTTTGTTTTTTACTTTATTATCATTCTAATTCTATTTTTGAGGCTCCACATGTTGTCATGGAAAATATTTATGTAGCCAGGCCTTGGCCTATAGAACTCTAGCTAATTTGGTCAGGGTGTGAATATTCTAGGTTTGTATTTCTATGTTTGGCCGGGTGTGGTTCCCAATCAGAGGCAGCTGTCGCTCGTTGTCTCTGATTGGGGATCATACTTAGGCAGCCAGTTTTCCTGCCTGTGTTGTGGGATCTTGTTGTGTTCCTGTTTAGGCTTTTGTGTTAGCCCTTTGGACCGTCACGGTTAAGGTTGTTATTTTGGTTATTGTGTCGTGTGTTTATTAGTTAATAAATATGTACGCCTTTCACGCTGCACCTTGGTCCAACCCGTCTCTTAACGTACGTGACAGAAGATCCCACCACCAATGGACCAAGCAGCGTGCCCAGGAGGAGCAGAGAGTATGGACTTGGAGGGAGATAAGAGAGGATCTGGCAAGGCAGATGGAGGCCCTGAAAGGGATCAGGGTGGAGAAGGAGAGACAGCCCCAATAATTTTTTTTGGGGGGGCTAAAAGGGTGGTCGGGGAGCGACAGAGAGGAGCCCCGACCACTGCACTCGTGGGGGCTCAAGGAGGAGTCCTCACTGGAGGAGGACGGGGCGCGGAGTGTAAAGGACGGAGACAGTCATAGACCTCCAGCGCCGGTTCCCAGTCCGGTACGCCCCGTGCCTGCTCCCCGCACCAAGCCAGTGGTGTGTGTTCCCAGTCCGGCCCGGCCTGTTCCTGCTCCTCGCACCAAGCCAGTGGTGCGTGTGTTCCCAGTCCGGCCCGGCCTGTTCCTGCTCCTCGCACCAAGCCAGTGGTGCGTGTTCCCAGTCCGGCCCGGCTTGTTCCTGTTCCCCGCACCAAGCCAGTGGTGCGTGTTCCCAGTCCGGTATGCCCCGTACCTGCTCCCCGCACCAAGCCAGTGGTGCGTGTTCCCAGTCCGGCCCGGCTTGTTCCTGCACCTCGCACCAAGCCAGTGGTGCGTGTTCCAGTCCGTCCCGGCCTGTTCCTGCTCCTCGCACCAAGCCGGTGGTGCGCGTCGCCAGTCCGGCCCGACCTGTTCCTGCTCCTCGCACCAAGCCAGGGGTGCGCGTCGCCAGTCGGCCCGGCCTGTTACTGTCACGCCAGTCGGCCCGGGTACTGTCACGCCCTGGCCTATAGAACTCTAGCTAGTTTGGTCAGGGTGTGAATATTCTAGGTTTGTATTTCTATGTTTGGCCGGGTGTGGTTCCCAATCAGAGGCAGCTGTCGCTCGTTGTCTCTGATTGGGGATCATACTTAGGCAGCCAGTTTTCCTGCCTGTGTTGTGGGATCTTGTTGTGTTCCTGTTTAGGCTTGTGTGTTAGCCCTTTGGACCGTCACGGTTAAGTTTGTTATTTTGGTTATTGTGTCGTGTGTTTATTAGTTAATAAACATGTACGCCTTTCACGCTGCACCTTGGTCCAACCCGTCTCTTAACGTACAGTGGGGGAAAAAAGTATTTAGTCAGCCACCAATTGTGCAAGTTCTCCCACTTAAAAAGATGAGAGAGGCCTGTAATTTTCATCATAGGTACACGTAAACTATGACAGACAAATTGAGGAAAAAAATTCCAGAAAATCACATTGTAGGATTTTTTATGAATTTATTTGCAAATTATGGTGGAAAATAAGTATTTGGTCAATAACAAAAGTTTCTCAATACTTCGTTATATACCATTTGTTGGCAATGACACAGGTCAATCGTTTTCTGTAAGTCTTCACAAGGTTTTCATACACTGTTGCTGGTATTTTGGCCCATTCCTCCATGCAGATCTCCTCTAGAGCAGTAATGTTTTGGGGCTGTCGCTGGGCAACACGGACTTTCAACTCCCTCCAAAGATTTTCTATGGGGTTGAGATCTGGAGACTGGCTAGGCCACTCCAGGACCTTGAAACACTCCTTCATTGCCCAGGCGGTGTGTTTGGGATCATTGTCATGCTGAAAGACCCAGCCACGTTTCATCTTCAATGCCCTTGCTGATGGAAGGAGGTTTTCACTCAAAATCTCACGATACATGGCCCCATTCATTCTTTCCTTTACACGGATCAGTCGTCCTGGTCCCTTTGCAGAAAAACAGCCCCAAAGCATGATGTTTCCACCCCCATGCTTCACAGTAGGTATGGTGTTCTTTGGATGCAACTCAGCATTCTTTGTCCTCCAAACACGACGAGTTGAGTTTTTACCAAAAAGTTCTATTTTGGTTTCATCTGACCATATGACATTCTCCCAATCCTCTTCTGGATCATCCAAATGCACTCTAGCAAACTTCAGACGGGCCTGGACATGTACTGGCTTAAGCAGGGGGACACGTCTGGCACTGCAGGATTTGAGTCCCTGGCGGCGTAGTGTGTTACTGATGGTAGGCTTTGTTACTTTGGTCCCAGCTCTCTGCAGGTCATTCACTAGGTCCCCCCGTGTGGTTCTGGGATTTTTGCTCACCGTTCTTGTGATCATTTTGACCCCACGGGGTGAGATCTTGCGTGGAGCCCCAGATCGAGGGAGATGATCAGTGGTCTTGTATGTCTTCCATTTCCTAATAATTGCTCCCACAGTTGATTTCTTCAAACCAAGCTGCTTACCTATTGCAGATTCAGTCTTCCCAGCCTGGTGCAGGTCTACAATTTTGTTTCTGGTGTCCTTTGACAGCTCTTTGGTCTTGGCCATAGTGGAGTTTGGAGTGTGACTGTTTGAGGTTGTGGACAGGTGTCTTTTATACTGATAACAAGTTCAAACAGGTGCCATTAATACAGGTAACGAGTGGAGGACAGAGGAGCCTCTTAAAGAAGAAGTTACAGGTCTGTGAGAGCCAGAAATCTTGCTTGTTTGTAGGTGACCAAATACTTATTTTCCACCATAATTTGCAAATAAATTCATAAAAAATCCTACAATGTGATTTTCTGGAATTTTTTTCCTCAATTTGTCTGTCATAGTTGACGTGTACCTATGATGAAAATTACAGGCCTCTCTCATCTTTTTAAGTGGGAGAACTTGCACAATTGGTGGCTGACTAAATACTTTTTTTCCCCACTGTACGTGACATAAGTAATTTCCAACAGCCAAATAGCAACTCTGCTGGAAATCCAGCTGCATATTAATCTTTGAGATCACATAAATATCATGTATTTTATTTATATAGATGAGATTGGCAAATGACAGATGTGGAATGTTAGCTAAAGAGGTTGGTACCCAGACTACCATATGTTGTGGCCTCCTGTGGAATGTGAACTCTCTCTGTGTTTCTCTCAGTGTGGTGAACGCTCTAGAGCTGAAGGACCATCTCCACAAGCAGGCCAAGAAACTGTCAGCTGGGATCAAGAGGAAGGTGAGAGAGAGAGAGACACACCTCACAGCACTCTACACGCCTGAACTAACACTGTGGAGAGGAGGGAGACTTTTAGTTCTAAACTGCCTGTCTGAGAGACATTTGGAGAGATTAAATGGGGTTGGTCCAGGGATTCAGTTAGGGCCTAGCAGTGCCATCCATCATTTAATGTCCTCTGTCAGCTCAAACAGTCAGTGTTAGCAGAGTAAAATAACCACCAAGCTTAGCCCTAAACATTCACCAAATCCTAACTCTGTACTTTGCTCACTTGTTTCATTTGTACATCTGTGGCACAGGATGTTGACTCGATTGTTCTGTGTTTCAGCCTAGCCCAACTGTTCAAACCCTTTGCTTTCACTAATTCTCACTTACCTGTTTAATTGGAAGCCTAATAATATATGTGCCCCACTTTGTTGACTGTATTTTTCTGTATTTCCTGTTTGTGTGTTTCAGTTGTGCTTTGCTCTCAGCATGTTGGGGAACCCGCAGATAGTTCTGCTGGATGAGCCTTCTACAGGGATGGACCCCAAGTCCAAACAACGCATGTGGTGAGACCCGCTCCTCTCTCTGGGACAATCGGACCAAAACAATGTTGTCTTGTGGGACAAGACTAAAAAAATGTTGACAACAAAATCACACTGCAATCAACAGAAACTAGAATGTATTGTGTACTTTGTACAGTGCCTTGCAAAAGTATTCAGCCCCCTTGGCGTTTTTCTTATATTGTTGCATTACCACCTGTAATTTAAATGGATTTTTATTTGGATTTCATGTAATGGACATGCACAAAATAGTCCAAATTGGTGAAGTGAAATTTAAAAAATTACTTGTTTCAGAAAATTATACAAAATAAATAACAGAAAAGTGGTGCGTGCATATGTATTCACCCCCTTTGCTATGAAGCCCCTAAATAAGATCTGGTGCAACCAATTACCTTCAGAAGTCACATAATTAGTTAAATAAAGTCCACCTGTGTGCAATCTGTCACATGATCTCAGTGTATATATACACCTGTTCTGAAAGGTCCCAGAGTCTGCAACACCACTAAGCAAGGGGCACCACATAGCAAGCGGCACCATGAAGACCAAGGAGCTCTCCAAACAGGTCAGGGACAAACTTGTGGAGAAGTACAGATCAGGGTTGGGTTATAAAAAAATATCAGAAACTTTGAACATCCCACAGAGCACTATTAAATCCATTATTTAAAAAATTGAAAGAATATGGCACCACAACAAACCTGCCAAGAGAGGGCCGCCCACCAAAACCGACGGACCAGGCAAGGAGGGCATTAATCAGAGAGGCAACAAAGAGACCAAAGATAACCCTGAAGGAGCTGCAAAGCTCCACAGCGGAGATTGGAGTATCTGTCCATAGGACCACTTTAAGCCGTACACTCCACAGAGCTGGGCTTTACGGAAGAGTGGTCAGAAAAAAGCCATTGCTTAAAGAAAAAAAGAAGCAAACACGTTTGGTGTTTGCCAAAAGGCATGTGGGGGACTCCCCAAACATATGGAAGAAGGTACTCTGGTCAGATGAGACTAAAATTGAGCTTTTTGGCCATCAAGGAAAACGCTATGTCTGGCGCAAACCCAACACCTCTCATCACCCCGAGAACCCCTTCCATGGTGGAAGCATGGTGGTGGCAGGATCATGCTGTGGGGATGTTTTTCATCGGCAGGGACTGGGAAACTGGTCAGAATTGAAGGAATGATGGATGGCGCTAAATACAGGGAAATTCTTGAGGGAAACCATTTTCAGTCTTCCAGAGATTTGAGACTGGGACGGAGGTTCACCTTCCAGCAGGACAATGACCCTAAGCATACTGCTAAAGCAAGACTCAAGTGGTTTAAAGGGAAATATTGAAATGTCTTGGAATGGCCTAGTCAAAGCCCAGACCTCAATCCAATTGAGAATCTGTGGTATGACTTAAAGATTGCTGTACACCAGCAGAACCCATCCAACTTGAAGGAGCTGGGGCAGTTTTGCCTTGAAGAATGGGCAAAAATCCCAGTGGCTAGATGTGCCAAGCTTATAGAGACATACCACAAGAGACTTGCAGCTGTAATTGCTGCAAAAGCTGGCACTACAAAGTATTGACTTTGAGGGGGTGAATAGTTATGCACGCTCAAGTTTTCTGTTTTTTTGTCTTATTTCTTGTTTGTTTCACAATAAATAAATAAAATGCATCTTCAAAGTGGTAGGCATGTTGTGTAAATCAAATGATACAAACCCCCCCAAAATCAATTTTAATTCCAGGTTGTAAGGCAACAAAATAGGAAAAATGCCAAGGGGGGGTGAATACTTTCGCAAGCCACTGTATATGTATATCAACTTCAGCCTAAAATGTTTTCAGTTTTTCTTTTAGTTTTAGGTTTTATTGTTCTACTCTGTTAAGTAACCAGTAAAGTGCTAAGGCTATGGTCCTTCTGTTCCTCCGTTGTGTCCTGTCTCCAGGAGGGCTATCCGGGCAGCGTTTAAGAACCACAAGCGCGGAGCCATCCTGACCACTCACTACATGGAGGAGGCTGAGGCGGTGTGTGACCGCGTGGCCATCATGGTGGCAGGGCAGCTCAGGTGAGTGTTGGGGTGAAGATGGGGGGAACATAGAGTTGGATAGAGGGTGCACAACACTGTTTTTGTTGTGCCCTCTATCCAATTCTATGGGGGGGGGGGGGGATGTCCAGAAACTCTGACATTGGGGCAAAGGTGTTATGTTGTAATTACATTGCTTTGGCTAATAATCTATGTCGCAATAACTTATTTATATATTCTTACAGTGAGGGAAAAAAGTATTTGATCCCCTGCTGATTTTGTACGTTTTCCCACTGACAAAGAAATTATCAGTCTATAATTTTAATGGTAGGTTTATTTGAACAGTGAGAGACAGAATAACAACAAAAAAATCCATACAAACGCATGTCAAAAATGTGATAAATTGATTTGCATTTTAATGAGGGAAATAAGTATTTGACCCCCTCTCAATCAGAAAGATTTCTGGCTCCCAGGTGTCTTTTATACAGGTAACGAGCTGAGATTAGGAGCACACTCTTAAAGGGAATACTCCTAATCTCATTTTGTTACCTGTATAAAAGACACCTGTCCACAGAAGCAATCAATCAATCAGATTCCAAACTCTCCACCATGGCCAAGACCAAAGAGCTCTCCAAGGATGTCAGGGACAAGATTGTAGACCTACACAAGGCTGGAATGGGCTACAAGACCATTGCCAAGCAGCTTGGTGAGAAGGTGACAACAGTTGGTGCGATTATTCGCAAATGGAAGAAACACAAAATAACTGTCAATCTCCCTCGGCCTGGGGCTCCATGCAAGATCTCACCTCGTGGAGTTGCAATGATCATGAGAAAGGTGAGGAATCAGCCCAGAACTACACGGGAGGATCTTGTCAATGATCTCAAGGCAGCTGGGACCATAGTCACCAAGAAAACAATTGGTAACACACTACGCCGTGAAGGACTGAAATCCTGCAGCGCCCGCAAGGTCCCCCTGCTCAAGAAAGCACATATACAGGCCCGTCTGAAGTTTGCCAATTAACATCTGAATGATTCAGAGGAGAACTGGGTGAAAGTGTTGTGGTCAGATGAGACCAAATTGGAGCTCTTTGGCATCACCTCAACTCGCTGTGTTTGGAGGAGGAGGAATGCTGCCTATGACCCTATGTTTTTCTGCTAAGGGGACAGGACAACTTCACCGCATCAAAGGGACGAAGGACGGGGCCATGTACCGTCAAATCTTGGGTGAGAACCTCCTTCCCTCAGCCAGGGAATTGAACATGGGTCGTGGATGGGTATTCCAGCATGACAATGACCCAAAACACACGGCCAAGGCAACAAAGGAGTGGCTCAAGGAAGAAGCACATTAAGGTCCTGGAGGAGCCTAGCCAGTCTCTAGACCTTAATCCCATAGAAAATCTGTGGAGGGAGCTGAAGGTTTGAGTTGCCAAACGTCATGCTCGAAAACCTTAATGACTTGGAGAAGATCTGCAAAGAGGAGTGGGACAAAATCCCTCCTGAGATGTGTGAAAACCTGGTGGCCAACTACAAGAAACGTCTGACCTCTGTGATTGCCAACAAGGGTTTTGCCACCAAGTACTAATTCATATTTTGCAGAGGGGTCAAATACTTATTTCCCTCATTAAAATGCAAATCAATTTATAACAGTTTTGACATGCGTTTTTCTGGATTTTTGTTGTTGTTATTCTGTCTCTCACTGTTCAAATAAACAGTTCACTATAGACTGATCATGTCTTTGTTAGTGGGCAAACGTACAAAATCAGCAGGGGATCAAATACTTTTTTCCCTCACTGTATGTTGTAATAACTGTTACAAGTATGTATTTTAGTCATACTGTATTGAGGTATATTTTAGTGTTTAGATATTTGTATTTTTTTGTCTTTATTAAAGATCCCATTAGCTTCTTCCAAGGCAGCAGCTATTCTTCCTGGGGCCCAGTCACATTAAGTAACATCACAAAATAAACAAACAAAAAGCAAAATAAAAACAGTACATCACATAACATCTCCACACCACTACATACTGTAGGACTTGTTTTGTTGATACTCTTGTCAAGAGCAGAGCATTGCATTATTACGGACAGACCTCTCCCCATCTTAGCTACCATTGCGTCAATATGTTTTGACCATGACAGTTTACAATCCAGGGTTACGCCAAGCAGTTTAGTCTCCTCAACTTGCTCAATTTTCACATTATTCATTACAATATTTAGTTGAGGTTTAGGGTTTAGTTAATGGTTTGTCCCAAATAAAATACTTTTCGTTTTTGAAATATTTAGTACTAGCTTATTACTTGCCACCTATTCTGAAATTGACTGCAATTCTTTGTTAAATGTTGCAGTGATTTCACACGCTGTGGTAGCTGACGTGTATAATGTTCAGTCATCAGCATATATAGATATAGGCTTTAATCAGTGCCAGTGGCAGGTCATTAGTAAAGATTGAAAAAAGTAAGGGGCCTAGACAACTGCCCTGTGGAATGCCCGATTCTACCTGGAAAATGTTGGAGAGGCTTCCATTAAAGAACACCCTCTGTGTTCTGGTAGACAGTTAACTCTCGAACCAGAAATTATCAATTTCTTTCAGCCAATCATTGGTCATTTGTGTAAGTACTTTACATGTTGAGTGCCCCTCCCTATAAGCATGCTGAAAGTAAGTTGTTAATTTGTTTACTGTGAAATAGCATTGTATCTGTTCAAACACCATTTTTTCAAAAGGTTTACTAAGGGTTGGTAGCAGGCTGATTGGTCGGCTGTTTGAGCCAGTAAAGGGTGCTTTCGCTATTGTTGGGTAGCGGAATGACTTTTGCTTCCCTCCAGGCCTGAGGGCACACACTTTCCTGTAGGCTTAGATTGAAGAGATGACAAATAGGAGTGGCAATATAGTCCGCTATCATCCTCAATAATTTTCCATCCAAGTTGTCAGACCCAGGTGGCTTGTCATTGTTGATAGACAACAATAATTTTTTCACCTCTTCCACACACTTTACGGAATTCTAAATTACAATGCTTGTCTTTCATAATTTGGTCAATTATTAATGGATGAGTAGGTTCAGAGTTTGTTGTTTTCATGTCGTGCCTAAGTTTGCTAATCTTGCCAATGAACAAAATCATTAAAGTAGTTGGCAATATCAGTGGGTTTTGTGATGAATGAGTCACCTGATTCAATGAAGGATGGAGCTGAGTTTGCGTTTTTGCCCAAAATGTCATTTATAATAATAATATGCCATTTAGCAGACGCTTTTATCCAAAGCGACTTACAGTCATGCGTGCATAAACATTTTTTTGTGTATGGGTGGTCCCGGGGATCGAACCCACTACCTTAGCGCTACAAGCGCCGTGCTCTACCAGCAAAGCTTTTTTACTGTCTTTGTTTCATAGTAGTTTCTTCTTCTTTTTGTTTAATTTAGTCACATGATTTCTCAATTTACAGTACGTTTGACGATTTATTTGCCATTCCTTTTGATTTGTCCCTCTCAACCAGAAATGTTTTTAATTCCTCATCAATCCACGGGAATTTAACAGTTTTTACGGTCATTTGTCTTTATGGGTGCATGCTTATTAGTAACTGGAATAAGCAATTTCATAAATGTGTCAAGTGCAGCGTCTGGTTGCTCCTCATTACACATAACAGACCAGCAAATATTATTTACATCAACAACATAGGAATCACTACAAAACCTCTTGTATGACCTCTTATACACTATATTAGGCCCAGACTTTGGAACTTTGGTTTTCCTAGATATGGCCACTAAATTATGATCACTACATCCGATGGATGTGGATACTGCTTTAGAGGAGATTTCTGCAGCATTGCCAAAGATGTGATCAATACATGTTGATGATTTAATTCATGTGCTTGTGTTTTCTGTGTGGTGCTGAGATCTGGTGGTTAATTGGGGAGTTGATTTGTGATCGATGATGGTGGTGGTGATGACGATGTGTCCTCTGTCTCTCAGGTGTATTGGTTCTATCCAGCACCTGAAGGGGAAGTATGGGCGTGGCTACAGCCTGGAGGTGAAGCTGAGAGAGGAGCTGACGGGGCTCCAGCAGGTGGCGCTGCTCCACAAGGAGATACGACGAATCTTCCCTCATGCTGCAAGACAGGAGAGGTGAGTCAGAGCAGAGGTGTGTGTGTGTGTGTGTGTGTGTGTGTGTGTGTGTGTAATGACATGCTAAAGCTGTCTCTGTCTTGCAGCTTTGCCATCCTGATGGTTTACAAGATCCCCATGGAGGACGTCAAGTCTCTGGCCAAGTCCTTCTCTCAGCTAGAGAGTGGTGAGTCGTGTGTGTGTGTCTCAGTTGGTAGGGCATGGCGCCTGCAACGTCAGGGTTGTGGGTTCGATTCCCACGGGGGACCAGTATGAAAAAGTAAAAACATGTATGCACTCCCTACTGTAAATCGCTCTGGATTAGAGCGTCTGCTAAATGACTAAAATGTTAAATGTGTGTGATCACTCTCTGATCACCTGCCTCGTGTTTCATTGATCAGTTACAATGTATTAAAAATACATAATAATGTATTCTAATGTCCTCTACTCCTCTGCCTCCAGCTAAGCAAGCTTTCAACTTTGAAGAGTACAACTTTTCACAATCTACCTTAGAGCAGGTAAGAACTCCCTTGTGAACCTTACCTTGAATGTCATGTGATCTTACATAATTTTACATTGTAGTCATTTAGCAGACGCTCTTATCCAGAGAGAGTACTTGTCTTTCTTTCGTTCTTCCTCCCCCTCTCTCAGGTGTTCATGGAGTTTGCTAAGGAGCAGGAGAAAGAGGAAGAGGAAGTGGGTTCCCTCAGCACCACGTTTCAGTGGCAGCGCCTCCGCCAGGACGGCCCTGTGCCTGTCAACCAAGCAGACAGCATTGTGCACCAGCTCTGAGCTCCACTGGGTGGGGGGCGCCCTGACTACATGGCACTAACCTCGTCCCCAGGCTAAAGTGGCTGGAAACATTTTACTATGGCACAGTCTATGCCAACCCTGGTAGTGCACTCACCCATCGCCTCACCAGCTCACACACACACCCACCCACCCAAACTAATGAGATGGTTGTCACAGGACGGACAGACGCCCATATGGGCATTGCCCTGGAGGGCTAGAAGCCTTACACACACACTGGAAATGTGTGTGTGGGATGTTTTTTTGGTTTTTTTTCTCTCTTTGAGGCTGAGGTGTGTGAGTTGTGTGTTCCTGACTCTTCCTCCTTCTCTGATGCCTCGCTGATACCACTTATTTTGTTGGTATATATGGATATATAGTATTTATTGATTCCTTATCCTTTCCATCCATTTCCCTCCCCGGGGTAACCTTGTCCCTCCCTGGGGTAACCTTGTCCCCCTCCGGGGTAACCTTGTCCCCCTCCGGGGTAACCTTGTCCCTCCCCGGGGTAACCTTGTCCCTCCCCGGGGTAACCTTGTCCCTCCCCGGGGTAACCTTGTCCCTCTCTGGGGTAACCTTGTCCCTCTCTGGGGTAACCTTGTCCCTCTCTGGGGTAACCTTGTCCCTCTCTGGGGTAACCTTGTCCCTCTCTGGGGTAACCTTGTCCCTCTCTGGGGTAACCTTGTCCCTCCCCGGGGTAACCTTGTCCCTCTCCGGGGTAACCTTGTCCCTCTCTGGGGTTACCTTGTCCCTCTCTGGGGTAACCTTGTCCCTCCCTGGGGTAACCTTGTCCCTCCCTGGGGTAACCTTGTCCCTTCCTGGGATAACCTTGTCCTTCCCTGGGGTAACCTTGTCCCTCCCTGGGGTAACCTTGTCCCTCCCTGGGGTAACCTAAGTGAAAGGGTCTGGTACACAAGGTTATCCATGGGAGAGTCAGTACAGTACTTGGTCCACTGTGTTTTATAACACCAGTCCAGTTCTGGATCTAGATCCATTAGTACCAAAGCACCACACACGCACACACACCTAACCTAACACGTCGACACTGAGGTGCTTTTAGCATCTGTAGCATGATGTGGACTATATTTGCGGTTGTAGTTGTGTAGGTTGCTTGTTCCGTGGTGGGACAAGTGGACGCCTGAATACAGACACACACTACTGACTGATCAACAGGCAGCTGTACGGAGAGATGGAGAGGCCTTTTTCCATTGCTGTTGTGTAGCAGAAGGAGCGACCCAGCAGAGCTGGAGCTTCAGCCCTCCCATGCATCGCCCTCTGGTGGGTGTGAAGAAGATCACGCCTCACTCGGCCGCTTCCTCACTGAGGGTCTGCCGCTGTTACTCTGTTTGTCTCTGGCTGCATCTGGAAGGGCACTATATTCACCCATAGGGTCCTGGTCAAAGTAGTGCACTATATTCACCCATAGGGTCCTGGTCAAAGGTAGTGCACTATATTCTGTTTTCTGTTTTTTTTGTCTTATTTCTTGTTTGTTTGCATCTTCAAAGTGGTAGGCATGTTGTGTAAAGCAAATTATACAAACCCCCCAAAAATCAATTTTAATTCCAGGTTGTAAGGCAACAAAATCCCAACTAGATGTTAAACCCACCTCCCCTCCCTCCCTCTCAACTAGATAGTAAACCCACCTCCCCTCCCTCCCAACTAGATGTTAAACCCACCTCCCCTCTCTCTCAACTAGATAGTAAATCCACCTCCCCTCCCTCCCTCCCAACTAGATATTAAACCCACCTCCCCTCCCTCCCTCCCAACTAGATGTTAAACCCACCTCCCCTCCCTCCCTCTCAACTAGATATTAAACCCACCTCCCCTCCCTCCCAACTAGATATTAAATCCACCTCCCCTCCCTCCCTCCCAACTAGATAGTAAATCCACCTCCCCTCCCTCTCTCTCAACTAGATATTAAACCCACCTCCCCTCCCTCCCTCCCAACTAGATGTTAAACCCACCTCCCCTCCCTCCCTCTCAACTAGATAGTAAACCCACCTCCCCTCCCTCCCCACTAGATATTAAACCCACCTCCCCTCCCTCCCAACTAGATATTAAACCCACCTCCCCTCCCTCCCAACTAGATATTAAACCCACCTCCCCTCCCTCCCTCTCAACTAGATATTAAACCCACCTCCCCTCCCTCCCTCCCAACTAGATATTAAACCCACCTCCCCTCCCTCCCAACTAGATATTAAACCCACCTCCCCTCCCTCCCTCTCAACTAGATAGTAAACCCACCTCCCTCCCAACTAGATATTAAATCCACCCCTACTCTCTCAACTAAATATTAAACCCCCTCCCCTCCCTTCATTTGTTATGTGGTGTTTTGGTTGTTGGATATTAATATTGGAGCAAGTTACTTGAACTGGTTGTTCAAAGCTTCCTTTGTCTCTTGCATCATGTCATGTGTGTGTTAAGGTTATCATTATGCTTTTTGTGTTGTCATACAGTGGGGAAAAAAAGTATTTAGTCAGCCACCAATTGTGCAAGTTCTCCCACATAAAAAGATGAGAGAGGCCTGTAATTTTCATCATAGGTACACGTCAACTATGACAGACAAAATGAGAAAAAAAAATCCAGAAAATCACATTGTAGGATTTTTAATGAATTTATTTGCAAATTATGGTGGAAAATAAGTATTTGGTCAATAACAAAAGTTTCTCAATACTTTGTTATATACCCTTTGTTGGCAATGACACAGGTCAAACGTTTTCTGTAAGTCTTCACAAGGTTTTCACACACTGTTGCTGGTATTTTGGTCCATTCCTCCATGCAGTTCTCCTCTAGAGCAGTGATGTTTTGGGGCTGTCGCTGGGCAACACAGACTTTCAACTCCCTCCAAATATTTTTTATGGGGTTGAGATCTGGAGACTGGCTAGGCCACTCCAGGACCTTGAAATGCTTCTTACGAAGCCACTCCTTCGTTGCCCGGGCAGTGTGTTTGGGATCATTGTCATGCTGAAAGACCCAGCCACGTTTCATCTTCAATGCCCTTGCTGATGGAAGGAGGTTTTCACTCAAAATCTCACGATACATGGCCCCATTCATTCTTTCCTTTACACGGATCAGTCGTCCTGGTCCCTTTGCAGAAAAACAGCCCCAAAGCATGATGTTTCCACCCCCATGCTTCACAGTAGGTATGGTGTTCTTTGGATGCAACTCAGCATTCTTTGTCCTCCAAACACGACGAGTTGAGTTTTTACCAAAAAGTTATATTTTGGTTTCATCTGACCATATGACATTCTCCCAATCCTTTTCTGGATCATCCAAATGCACTCTAGCAAACTTCAGACGGGCCTGGACATGTACTGGGGGACACGTCTGGCACTGCAGGATTTGAGTCCCTGGCGGCGTAGTGTGTTACTGATGGTAGGCTTTGTTACTTTGGTCCCAGCTCTCTGCAAGTCATTCACTAGGTACCCCCGTGTGGTTCTTGTGATCATTTTGACCCCACAGGGTGAGATCTTGCGTGGAGCCCCAGATCGAGGGAGATTATCAGTGGTCTTGTATGTCTTCCATTTCCTAATAATTGCTTCCACAGTTGATTTATTCAAACCAAGCTGCTTACCTATTGCAGATTCAGTCTTCCCAGCCTGGTGCAGGTCTACAATTTTGTTTCTGGTGTCCTTTGACAGCTCTTTGGTCTTGGCCATAGTGCAGTTTGGAGTGTGACTGTTTGAGGTTGTGGACAGGTGTCTTTTATACTGATAACAAGTTCAAACAGGTGCCATTAATACAGGTAACGAGTGGAGGACAGAGGAGCCTCTTAAAGAATAAGTTACAGGTCTGTGAGAGCCAGAAATATTGCTTGTTTGTAGGTGACCAAATACTTATTTTCCACCATAATTTGCAAATAAATTTATTAAAAATCCTACAATGTGACTTTCTGGTTTTTCTTTTCTCAATTTGTCTGTCATAGTTGACGTGTACCTATGATGAAAATTACAGGCCTCTCTCATCTTTTTAAGTGGGAGAACTTGCACAATTGGTGGCTGACTAAATACTTTTTTCCCCCACTGTATAAACTGATAGAATGTCTTTAAAGAACTAGGTCACAGTAGCATCTGAGGCCTGGATTGCCAACATTTACCTTCATTTGATGGAATGTATTTTTTCTGTTAATATTTTTTCATAGAAAGTGTTCTGAAAACGTATGTGGGTATAGGAAAGCTCAGCTGGGTTTATGTTAAGTTTCCCTCTGGGTTTATGTTAAGTTTCTCTCTGGGTTTATGTTAAGTTTCCCTCTGGGTTTATGTTAAGTTTCCCTCTGGGTTTATGTTAAGTTTCCCTCTGAAATTCCTTAACTATAGTTTTATTTGTAAAGCATGTTTTCTACTTTCCTGCCTCGCTTTCTCAAGAAGGGCATTTGCTACTGAGCATTTTTGGTCAAATCAGTGTGCTGTGCTTCCTGGTATTACTATGATAATATGGTAAAACCTCACCACGTTCACAGGCAGCATTTTTTGTCTGATTGTCTGTGGGAGATGAACACTCCAAGAGACCAATGTTGGGCAGTTAAGAACCAGGGGGCTGTTCCTGAAATCTGTCTCAATGTGTTAGCCAGCTATCTTTGATCAATGAATTAGCCAGCTAACGTTCTAGAATCTCTGGAAATAACTCCATCTTTTAAGAAATATTGACTTGAAATTGACCAGGTATAATTGACTTGACAACAACAACCAATTTACAAATTAAGCTTTCAATCAACCAAAAAAAACAAAAGTTATATGTGCCTGTTTATCCAAGTAAATTGGTTAATTTAATAATCCTGCTTTCTGGAATACCCCACTGACTACATGCTTAAAGATGGTGCTTTGTTGTGTTGACCATACTGTAACACTTTTGTGTGAGTGAGGGAACATTATTCTTGTACACATGTAGCCTTGTGCACTTGATCAATGCCTACTATAGTGGTGACAAGGGTTGCAAAATTCCAGGAACTTTCAAATTCCCTGGTTTTCCTGAAATCCCGGTTAGCGGAAACCTGGAATCGGGAG